GACCAGCCAATTGGAGAATTGACCGGGTCTCTGTCATACCTTGTCTATCCTAGCCAATCGGATATAAGTCATAGCGGAACCTGGATCAATGGTACCTCAAGCTAATCTGAACAAGATGAGGGGCTTGCCTCATCATTAATCCATAATTCTTCTTGCCAAACAGCCGGTCTTGGTTGGAACCTGCTTCTTTCTTTCGATCATCCCCTGATGGCTAAGCAATCTTCCCTCCACTTGGATATACCTAGGCTTCCACAACAGACACAAACCCACCACTTATCAATTCCAACAAAACATTTATTCATGACATTGGAGTCATGATGCAGGTATCAATCGATGTCAGAGATCAACAAGAGACTTCAAAAAACATTACATAGGCCCAAAGCTTTGCCCAGGGCTTAGATCTAGATCAATCAATGCTGGGACCAGGTCAAATAACCCCTAACCCACACACAAGCAATATACAAAAACAACACAACTAATCTAAATCAGCACCACCAAACATACCATTGAGGACCTGCCTGAAGCAGCCAATAAACCTGTAGCCAGCAGCTCAAGAGCAAGAACTTGTCATGAACTGTGTCAAGCCTCTCATGACACATCACATTGTCAGATCAAATATCATTGAGATACAGCCTTGAGCTACTCAATCTAAACAATCCTATACTTTGTCTCCAGCTACTCAGATATGGAAGATACGACTGGCAACAAAGATAGAGAGGTGACAGTTTGGAGAGAATACCGCCGTTCACCTCACTTTTTGTCTGCCAGGTTGAACTTGTGTGAGAAAGCTCTAGCTTGAAAGCCTCAGTCGAAAGCAACCCGTGCAAAGCAATCACACAACTCTACAGATACAAAACTCTATCTTGTCATGCAAGTGGATGGAGTTGGCTTTGGATTTGGACGGGTGACTGGTGGATTGTGCCCTTATACAGACTGCATGAGCTGTGGCTGGACTTGTTCATTGTCATATGATGACTGTTCCCTTAGCTTTGATATGTCATCTTTGCATGTATGGACTGCAAGCAAGACGTACAATGTGAAGCGGGCCTGATATCTGATCAGATCATACCACCTCCATTCTGAGTCGGTCAAGGAGTGGGATGTTCTGTATTAACCTTCTATTCACAGTGATATAGCGTTTTATATTCACCTTCCTCAACAGCCTTGAGAGTTCTTATATCCATCTATAGTGGCAGCTTTTCCTGACACATCCTTGACAACTGACAATGTTGCAGAAGGTTCACTTCCTCCATAAAATCTTAGAGATCTGACTAAGACAGTATCACATGCTCAAGAGTCCACTAAGCAATATCTACCTGAAATCGGTGGCCTATCTGAGTCAAGCTGGCTTGTAAACTTGTAGCCTTGGAAGACAAGTGGCTTTGATTCAAACACAACAAGATGAGGTCTTGGGCTCATGATGTACCATGATTTTGGGCTGTATCTAAGCTTTCAACACCTGTGACCATATCCGCTTGCAGATGAGAACACAACATGTAATTGTTGTGATATCACCCCGAGCTGATGATGTAGCTATTCCCCTTGATGGTGTTGACGAATGCTATGTCCTGTGTGTATGATTGTTTGTCTGGTTGCTTGCACAAAAGTAAAATGATTACGTGAGAGGAGAAAGGGAAATCAGGCCCAACGCCGCCAATGGTTTGCTATATATTCTGTTCTGATGAGCATGTTCTCTAATGAACTTGTAATGGGACTAGTTGCACAATTGCAACCTCAGTCACATATCTATGATTGCACTCACATATGAGTGATCTCAGTCACAAATGACATCACCAATATGAGACTTCGGTTGCAAAATAGTGACCCCAGTCACCACATGCAATTCTGATTACGTCTTAAACCTTTATGCTTGAGATTACGTCTTAAGTATCACCTCCGATTTCAAAGCATACCAATATCCAACAGAATGACACATATATCTTCAATGGTGAGAGACTTAAGTAGAGAATCTGTGCGGATCTGTTGCACCTTTATGTTGCGTGCATTCAATGCCAATAATGTACGCCTACACCTCAGCTTGCACAATGATGTACGTCTATACCTTAGCTTGCACTTTGAAAACATATTAGAAGAGCCTACACCATTGACAACAGACCAGCAATTGTCAATACATTGGCATGGAAGAGATTGTGAGATATTATAAGCAGGTGATTCAACCCCACTGTATCTAGAACCATGCCATCTGCCTCAAAACTGCAATAAAGTAAAGCCTGGAAACAAACTACAAAGGATTCTGGGCATATCGGTAAAACCTGCATCTGTGCAGTTGGTCATCACCTGCGCAATGCTATGACATCAAAGTTACCAGCAGGTATTTGTGTCAACGGCATGACTGCCATAGAAACACCTATGGCTGAGACAGGTACCACACTGGCCAACAACATACATAATTCTATAAGAAAGCCTCAATGGGTAAAATGTACGGTGCACAGCTCATCTGGAATGACGTACAATACTCCTGTCGAAGACTTTGTTTTCATCAGAGATTGAGAGCTTTGGCAGCTAATATCAGAATAGTCTACATGGACGTTGGTTCTGTTGTCTGTCTGCATCCTATAATTCATATGATACTCAGAACACATATATCAAGCACATAGGGTCAACATAGAACCTGAATAACATAATATGTTGTTTTGCTCTGGCAGCTGTGTTTGCTTGTCTTTTTGCTCATATCCTTGACAATCATGAGACATGAATAGAAGATGTGTGAGCTGTGAAGCGTCATACAGACATGGAGGCTACTACTGGGAGTATATAACCGAGGCAGGTGACTACGGGTGACATCTAATTTTGAGATTGCTAAGTGTGATGTCAATTGCAAGCTTTAAAATGTCGTCAAGTTGAATGACAGATTGTTGGAACAGAGAAGTAGTTTTGCCCAAGAAAAGCAAGTGCATATAGGATATAAACACAGGTAGATCTGATGGGCAAGGACGTTGCTTGGTAGCAAGAGACAGAATGGGCCCAAGTTTCAGCAGCAAACATAAATTCTTCAATAGTCTTTATGAAGATATGACCTTTCTACTATTGAGACCTGCAATCTGGTCTGATCAAGCATACAGGTGTGTTGAGAACCAAAATAAGGTGATTATTGGTAAAGTGATATCATGGAAGCAAGCAAATGTTGTGTTGCTAGCCAATTGACAATAAGCGGACTCAGTTCTGCAAAATATTGTAAATATAATACAAGCTTGAACGGTTATAGTCTGCCCTGATCTGTTATGTGCAGTGTTCTTGCTGGTGATGACACTCCCTGTGCAGAGAGTCAGTTCTGTAAGTGATTTCTCTTTATTCATGAGTTGCAGGATCCACTTTGAGGTTTTGAATTGTGCCATTGCTCATTACCATGTGTACAGGTACCTGGACTTTTCATTATGCTTCATGCAATTCTTTTTTGACCTTGTACATTTGCACGTGATACATTATGGTATCAGCCTAAACTGATGGCATAGCTTTCACTCAATTTGTTGGTCCATAGCAACTCTCGTGTGAACGACTATCTATCTGAATGCTTGCACAAAAGTCAAATGGTACATGATAAGGAGAAGCTAGCGTAAAAGTCAAGTAATATATGAGAAGGAGAAGGAACTGAAGCTAAATTGACCTCCTATGTCAGTGATCCTGATAATAGCCTGCCTTCAAGGGTCGACAAACTCTTGAAGCGATAATTGAGGTAGCGACTTACATGATCCAACCATATGCGATGTTTTACAATACATACTGATCTGCAATGATACATGTGGAACAGACAGCTTTAATACAGTATGAATCATGGGTATATTGGCATCAAAACCGATATGTAGCTGCTATAAATTGGCACATGCTTGTGAGCAGGATTGTCCATGAGCTGGATACAGCAGTACACAAGTAAGGCATAGGTTCACCAATGTTAGAGTTTCTACTGAAAGGATATTGTTAGGCTTTGCAAAGGCTCTGGGGAAGACCAGCTCAATGACCGCCTGCAAGGACAAATTTGAGAGTGATATACACAATGGGCTAGGGGGGTTCTGGGTACAATAGCAGATCAAGGATTATAACATACATGACTATACCACAGGTGGCCAAAAGAGGAAAAGATCACTTTTGCTCCCTGAACAAGTTCATTCAGTTGAGATACTACAGCTCGAGGTTCATATATGCACGCGTTGCCATAAGAAACACAAAATACAAAGGGAAATATGACAAGTAATACCTTGTTGCAACGGGCAGGTCAAGTTCTGGTGGCATACAGACATAGTGCCGTACACAAAGCGGCGATTGGATAGGATACTTGGAAGCAGCCTTAGCATCAACAGAATCACCTCAATCCCACCTACAACTTACCCACATGTATGGTTACTTGGAACACACAATGAAACCAGCCTGCTCGAAGTCTTTTAGACGGTCCTGGACCAGGCCCTCTGATGTCTTGTGTACTGTGTAGTACTTTAACATCGGCTGATAGATGTCGCTTTACGAGCCATTTTGTCAGGAGCTTCTTCAGCCTAAACGAATATAGACTACCTTTGTTCTCAATTCTCAACCGGCTCGCCTCCAGTTCTCCGGTGTCTCTTCTAGCCCGGACAGTAGGAAGACACACGACAATGGACATAGTATAGATTATCTGATTCTAAGCTCGCACATACTTGCTCCGGCTTTATTGATCTCGCACATGTGTTTCGAAACAAATTAGTCTTCACTTCTGCTCCGACGTTGATGCTCGTCACTTAATAGGCCGAATTCATGATTGTTACTGAGGGAAGAAGGGTAGCATCAGAGTCTGATCAAGCATTTACCCAATACTTGCGCTGCGAAACGCAATCATGCCCAAGATGCTCTCAAATATCCCCGGTCATGAACGAGACTGATCGAAAAATCGTTGACGTCGATCTATAGAATGGTACAGCTAGGGTGAGGGCGAGATGATGGGATCGATAAGGAGCAATCATGCTTGTCATGCATATGGCTGCGTTCGAAAGATGGGTTAGGGACAGGGATGTCTACGAACGGATGGTCAGTTTTGAGTCCACGAACACGTGCAATCGGATGAGCGGCTTTCCAGTCATGAAGCACGAAACATCTGGACAAGGTTGAACAGTTCCACCGATGTTTAGAAGGGATTCCTACAAGTATTGTCATGTATAACATTAACGCCTGGCGTAAGACAAGTCACAGGCGTGTGGTTCGGGCCCAAAGGACATCGGTGTTGTAGACATTCGTGAGGTCAAGGCGTGATGTTGAGCTTCCTGTAGTAGCGGTGATTACTGGTTCTGACGATGTTTAAGAGGGGCGATGAGGGGGTTCTGTTTGACACAACGATTGAGAAGGCGATCAGTCCGAGATGAAACGTGTAACGCCGCGAACCAGCGTTCGAAAGTCAGCCTCACGTTGCACTGCCTCGCAAAGATGGGCTGGCCGTTGAGAGTCTTCATGAGGAAGGCGAGACCATCGTCGAGCAGGAGTCGAGTCTAGTATAGCAAGAAAAGGGAAGCTCGGCATCAGCTGTGACGTCCGGTAAAATTCCTTTGACCAAGCCCAGCACTCACTCTCTCTTCTGGGTCGGATGGCATGTCTTGTGTGATCAGCTTCTTGAATTCCTGCAGCGAGTTATCGAGCCAGTCCTGGGCGGAAGTGCGATCTCTGGCGTCGTATCCCTGGCAGACAATTTGAGACTATCTCAGATACCCACCTTGGTCAGCGTAAACCCACTAGATACGGCTTTGTCCGAATTGCTCACGATGCGTCTCCTGTGATACGCGATCGCCGTCTGAATGTCATCTCTTAGGTTGGCGTTGAAGTTGGCTTCGACAAACCCGGAAAGATCGGTATCGGGCAGGGTCAGGTTGTCAAAATCGTTGTGGCGGAGAGCTTTTGGCGTGTCGTCCAAAGAGTGCATCCGAGATCTTCCGATGCCGGGCGAGTCTGGGGACATGGTGCGTATCGTCCTGGCGGGTGGTTGTGTAGCTTTCGGTGTGGTCGCACGATCGGATCGTTGGGGATCTGGGCACGCCATTATACGAAAAGATCAGCTCAGGATTCCGAGGCTGATTTGTAAGGGGACGCCGGACTGGTACTCACGTCCGTTTGCTTTCGTGGGAATGTTAACCGTCTCTCCCTCTTCATCGTCCGAACTATGATCGGTCTGGTACTCGTACTCCTCTTCTCGCCTGGTCGAGTCGGCATCCCCGAAGCGTTCGCTGACTTCCGCATCATCATATCTCCCGCCAGGGCTGGAGATAAGTGTGTTTGTATTGTAGAGGCCGGTCCTGATATACTTGGAGACGGGGTAACCACCCGAGTTGTGATTGCCCAACCCGAATTTACGCTTCAATCCGGGCAGAGACTGAGTGATGATCTGGTCTGATGATGGACCAGCTTGAGCGTTGACCTGGGCTAGACTTGAGCGAGTGGGAGCAGGAGGCGGCGGTGAAGGTGGCGGCGGCGGAGATTTTTGTTTGGGCTTGTATGGAAGAGGGACGTGTTGAGCGTATTTCGGAGCGGTGCACGGGTTGATGTTGGCTCGATTCCCGAGTTTGACCTCGTAAGCCAATTCGCTCCCGTCAATCTTGGTACCGCATTGAGAAAAGACATCTTCGAGCCAGCTCAAAGTCTGTTTGGAGGGTCTTGTTTCGTTGATAGGGAGGTACATGTAGTACGGAGCTTCCGGCGTTGAGATATGATCCAGAAGATGCTCGTAGGAAGAGATCGTGATTGGCGGCGAGTTGATCTGAATCGGGTCACTCTTGAGTAAATTGGTAAGAGTGGTCTGCTTGGAGAACTTGAGTGACGTTCCGGGAGCGAGCATGGTCTCGAAAGCGTTTCGATCGATCTCGCAGACCCTATGTGCATTGACGCAACCGGCGCACTTGATCGATTGTATGCTGGAAACAGTGGTTGTTCAGGTCAGCAATTGCTCAGAGGCCGAACAATCCCATGTCAAGACTGCTGCACTCACGATGTATCGTCCGGACTCGCTCTGTAACAATGCATCTTGGCCTTTTTGCAACTCTTGCAAGCGTACTTTGCGTCGATTCTTCGAGCGTATGCGGTGATGTAAGCGGCACGAACGTTGCTGCTCGCTTTCGCTTGCGTTGGTTGAGTAGTGGTAGAGGTCTGTGGAGCATCTGTATTCGACCCGTCCGAGCTATCGACGGCGGACAGAATGAAGAACAGGTGTGTGGGTATTCGGTATGTGGTTGGTTGTTCCCCGGAGCTGCATGCGGGCAGGTTGACCTGCAACGTGGACTGTTCGTCGGCGATGGCCTCGAGGGAAAAGCTGAACGTGGAGCCAGGCTGCCGAGCGAGAAGACGCTCGACCACTGGATTCGGGTTGGCGAGGATGGAATAGCCGGATGGCACCAATTGTAATGGCGAGCTAACTTCAGTCGACATGATTCGATGTCGGTATCGCTCTGACAAGCCCTGGCTCGTTTCCGGATGTAGGAACGCCCGGAGAACTTCGCAGCCAGATCTAACGATGAGAAGTTAGATCTATTGAGTAGGCTGCGGGATAATCTCGACTCTTAACCCTTGGTGAATCGATAGAACATGAAGCAGAAATCTGACGTCCAGCTCCAGAGATCCAAGACGAATGCATCAACGGTTTGTTTACAAGCGACGCGCACCGGGGAGGAGAAGGCACCTTCGCCTGCTCGGCGGTTTTCTAGAAGAACGGGTGCATGATCATGGCAAGCGCCCAAACAGGCTGCTTTGCCATACTAGGCTCACTTGCAGTCAAGGAAGCACCTGTGGCTGTGTTACTGCTGGTACTGTCTCTCAGTTGTTGTATGGAAGCGCCTTCCAGCAAATAGAGGATTTCCGTGTTTAACAGGCTCATTATTGGCTGGGGCTGGGCGGACACAGATGCTCTGAACACGATCAAAAGATCTCGTTGATGAGGTTGATAGATTGTGAAGGATCCTTCTCGTCATCATCTTGCGAGGTCGGGATGAGTCGAAATCGGGTGACGCCATGTCCGGCCGTGCCGGCGGCACGTTGCAGGGGCATCCAAGTAGCAAGTAGTACAGTATCCTTGGTATCGAGACCCAAATTTCAGAACGCCGTTGCGCTGGGACGTCCTTGGCGTTTGCCAGCTGGAGGTGTGTGGTCGAGTTTGATCCTTTCCGCCATGCTTGTTGATGTATATCCTCCAAGCATACACTGGAAAGTCTTGCTGTTGAGGGGTCGAGTGAAAACATCGATGTAGGACCCTGGGCCATCGTCGTCAGTTAATAGGTTCGCTGTTCCCAGTGCTTCTCGAATCTTGCCGATGCAGGTCGCAAATTCTTGCCAATCGCCGCTGGCACGTGTGATACGCTGTAAATCCTGACGTAGCTTGACGAGTCGGATCGGGTTGTATCGCTTAGGGTCCAGGTCTTGAAAGACCGTATGTGCTGAAGGGATAATACCGCCGGTTCGCTCAGCAATGCGGGCTAGATCGGACATGATTGACTTGATGGCATCACTTTGGCGGGGATTGGTAAAGTTGAGAAGGTTGACTACACGTCCAGCTGTGCCCTGGATATCACGACGGCGAGCAGTCTCGTATACTTCGGAGTCAGGATTGTCGTCGGACCATACGCTTTGTAGGCGCTGGCCGCTTCCTCTTTGCTGATACCCCACGGTCTTTTGATTGTTTTGTTTTGATGAAGGAGATCGTAGGCTCCGGTTGACATCATGAGGCCGGGCGGGACTCCAACACATCAGGCTGATATGCGCCATCAGCGGAACACCAGGCATGTCTTTGGACGTCTTGAAGGCTGTCGACAAATCCCAGGGAGCAGCTTGCAACCTGATTGGCGTTGGTTCTGGCAGATAGGTCCCATTGTATAATAGTCATCTTGTATTGCCCTCTAAAAGATGAGAGTGAATTGGTAACCCGCTGTGTTGGCCAATATTGAGCCTGCTAAACATGGAAATGCTACAACCTCTTGGAGTCATTGGATGGCAGCAGTTAATGCAAAGTATCAGCAAAATAGCTTTAGATACTTCTTCCACTGCAATCAAGCCCCAGATTGCCTTGATTCATTAAACAAGCCTGCCCCACGAATGCATCCATTCTTGGAGTCTCCGCTTTTTCGATCGCGCGATCGACTTGCACCTGCACAGCTCAGTAGCTCAGTAGATCAGTAAGATGTCAGCTATATAGCTATAGCAGCTATAACAGCTACACGCTACATACGAAAGGCGGAAGGCGTGAAAGGTCAGGGGTAAGTCAGATCCAAGATCTCAATCTATCTCATCCAATCACCCTAGCTCACGAAATACAAACGGCGGCTCTCGAACAGGACACCCCACCGTAGTGATCAGCAGAGGTTTATCAGATGTCAATCTATCTTGCCCAACACGCTCATTAGCTCACTAAACAGAGCTCTCGAAAAGGACACCTCATCGATTCATCCTAAACATCATGACCGAGCCCATACGCCGAAGTCGTCGCCTTGTCAAGGATGAGGATCTGGAGGACGGGCCTAGCACCTCGAAATACTTTCCAGAAAACAGGCATGTAGAGTCGGAGCCTGCCATACTATCGCATGTGAGATCCAAGAGAAATTCTTCGGACTCGCCAACGAAGCCTCACAAGCGAGTCAAATTGGAAGATACATCGCATGATCGGTCGGCGTCCTCTCCTCTGACCGATCTCGAAGAACTACCACCCCATCTTCGCTTGCAATCCATACCTATCAAGGTGGAAACTGCACTTTCGACAACCCCCAAGAGCAAGAAACCTGTCGTTAAGCTCAAGCTGGAAAAGCCACATAGAGCTCCGGAGAATTGGGAAAAACAGTGGGATTTGATACTTCGGATGCGAGCGAAGATCATCGCTCCGGTAGACACCTTGTCAGTTCCCAGACATTCAGCTTATTATCAGTAATTGTGTTCCTGACTGTCGCTATTCCCCAGAGGCTGCGACACGACGCCCAATGGAGAACGAACGAGCGATCCCAAGGTGAGTCCGGCTGGCTCACATCGTCAATCTCGGTCTTTGACTGATCTCGCCGACGGATACCTTACCCCTTGCAGATCGTCAGATTTCACGTTCTCATCAGCCTCATACTGTCCTCTCAAACCCGTGATCCTGTAACTTCTCAGGCAGTTACAAACCTTCATGAACGCCTTTCCGGAGGGCTGACCGCAGCGTCTCTCGCTACGGCCCCCTCCGATCTTGTCGCCGAATGCATTTCGAAGGTTGGATTTTGGAGACGCAAGACCGAATACATTCAAGAAGCAGCACGAGCTATCGTCGAAGGTGGTCTGGACGATGGAGAAGACCTTCCCGAAGGCTGGGAGGGAAGGGATTTGACCGGGGTCGATCCGGACGGGAGACCTGGCGATATCCCGATGACGTTGGGCGGATTGTGCAAGCTGAAGGGCGTTGGACCAAAGATGGCGTTCCTGACCCTGCAGTGTGCTTGGAATATCAATGCTGGAGTGGGTGTGGACACCCACGTTCATAGGGTGACCAAGGGAGTCAGCTAGTCCGCAACCTACCTCGTTCGCACTACTTACAGCCTTGTTTACATTCTGCAGTCGACTGAGTTGGCACAAACCCAAAACTACCGATCCGGAGCAGACACGGTGAGTTCACGAGGGGTACCCCGCCTTTCCTTGTACTGATTGTGATCCTCCTCGAACCGGGCTGTCCAGTCTCAACCTGCAGTCATGGCTTCCTCGTCATCTATTCAAGCCCATCAACCACGTGTTAGTCGGATTCGGACAGGTCGTCTGTTTGCCGGTCGGTCCTCGCTGTGATGTCTGTCTTCTCGCCAAGGAGAAGATCTGCCCGGTCAGAGTGACAAATGGCAACTACAAGGCTCGCAAGGATATCGGCGTCAGCTTCGAAGAGGAAGATGAAGCAACCGTCAAGGCGGAGCCGAAGCTGGAGATCGAATTGGAAACAACGGTCAAGGCGGAACCGGAGCTGGAGATCTAATCGGAAGCTGCCTGAAAGAAGCAACGGGATACCCTTTTCATGGTATCTTCTGACGATATATTTCGACAACGCTGTATCCGCACTATGACTGTAAGCTGGGTCGGTAGTTGTATCATACCAAATATAAACACCAATTTGCCAACCCAGCGTGACATCGATGACCCCTAGTCCCGAGATCACGTCGACGACGGTTACTTCCGCGCAAGCGCTTCGTGCCTTTCCTCTATAGAAGGTCAACATGTACGCATTGAACATATAGCTGCCGATACATTCGGAGGTCGACCATACCAATCTTGAGACCTGTAGGACTTCTTGGTCATTGCCCATGGTCATGCATATGTCCTTTATCCCGATTCCTATTGGCGGCGCATCTGCCTACTATGGCGGTAGGGCAGTTCGGCCTGATCTACCTTTACTCTTTGTCAGCGGGCCTCAGACGTTGACCCTCACCTGTGGCATACGTGCCATGTCTGACTTACCATCTCGGATACGACCATGGAATGAATTCATAGGCTCGTCGATGGTTTTCCTTGTCAAGGAATGTGGTTGACGCTTGGGGCAATGTCTTTGGCTATCTCGGCAGGTGGACTGCTTGCAAATTCTTCCTTGATCTCAATCGTCGTGAATGATGCGGCCCCGTCGCCCGTCGTACAGCTTCCAGATCCATGCAGGGGGGGACTCGCGGATGAAGATCGTTTCCCACCTGTGTCTCGGTCTACATACCATGCTGGATGCGAAAATACATTGACTGGCTATATACTCCGCCTGCAATCTGCAGGTGCGAATTACTGAAACGAGATAACCAACTTCTCCACGAGTTTATAGATGGAGAAAGGCAGTGCATGTTTGAGGCGGGAACGTTGCCGCGGGATAAGCGCTGAACACGAAACACTCAATCTCATGAGGGTTCACGGGCTATACATGTATCACCATCCTGCAGTCAACTAGTGAGTAGACCTGTCGCGAAAAGAATCTTGAGGCTTTCGAGAACGATTCGAGCCCATCCTGCGTTCTTCGCTTCTGTCAACTCCACATTCCAACAGCACTGCTGCCGAATCGTATTATCCATCGGGGTCCAGTTTGTTGTTTTGCGGCGCAAGATTCCTCTTGAGACATTTGGGCGCAAGCTGCAAGTAGAAATCAGGTACAGCGAGGGATGCTTCTCGATCATTGAAGGGTATGGTATGACGAGAATGCACGGAAAGAATTGCGCTTGAGCGCTGGAAGCTGATACACGGCGCGACAAGGTCTGAAACAGGCGTTCCTTGCTTAGTCAGCTTGCCGAATTCTCGGATCCGGTCCCCGCCGGGTCGGTCACCCTTGCCCACCTTGCACCTTGCACATATCGACGTTAGTGCAACTACTACTCTCGCTCACAAGATCGGGATTGAGCTCCCATCCATACGTTTATGCTCAGTCAGCCGAATTATGCCTAAAGATCCTGCTGCGGGCGTGCTCTATGTCGCTTCGCCGAGAAGAAAATCACCCACACGAACGAGGTCCGAATTACAACCCCCGAGCCCGCCGCCTGGTCCGTCAACGCCGTCGGTTAGGTTATCTTTACTGCTGCTCTTACCTATCTTGACAGTATGGCCATGGTGGTGCAAGAACCTACACTATGATCTCCCCACACCAATGACTAACGGGTAAGTTGGAAACTGTACTAAAGATTATGCAACAATCTGAAGATGCGTTAAACATCCTGTTGCCGGCTTCATAGCTCGCCTGCAGGCGGCCTGCCTGTCCTGTCCGAACTCAACATCATTCAACACGTTCAAGAGCTGGAAGATATAGGCTACCGAATCGTCGGCACGGATGAAGAGGTTCAGGGGGAGATGTATGTCTATTCGACGATGCAAAGCCTGTTGGAACAGTGCAGCCAGTCAAGAACGCTGGAATGCAGCTTGTGGATGCAGGAGGGCGACGGAATGCACCAGTACGTTCAACATCAGTCTCATGTGTGTCTTCAATCATGATCAATCAGTCTCATCCCACTTCTTTCTTCGGTAGATTTGACCTGATGAGACATGCTATTCTCAAATCTTATCGCGGAATTCGCAACGTCATCTTTCGAGTATCCGGCATCAATACCACGACCACACTGGAGGGAGAGCCGCTCAAGAACAGCGTGCTCCTAAACTCTCACATCGACAGTGCGTTGCCCTCAAAGGGCTCTGCCGAGTGAGTCTCACATCGCACACGGCGCTTATCGCCTTATCGGATTGCTGATCTTCGGAAGCTCTCGATCTCTACCGTTAGCGATGGCCTTGGTGTTGGGGTGATGGCCGAGCTAGCGAGGGTGTTGGTGGAACGAGACCAACACATCCATGGGAGCGTTATTTTCCTCTTCAATGGCGCTGAAGGTGAGTAGACAGTTGCGGGTCACATCGTCGATCTTGGTTAACGGTTTTCTGTGACTGCAACTATAGAGAGTCTTCAAGATGCATCCCATCTATATAGTACCCAGCATGAAACCCGGCACGAGTGAGTGTCCACACAAACTATCGTCTTCCTCTCTGACTGAGCGCTTATAACCGTCGTTCAGCGTCAAGGCGGTGATCAACCTGGAAGGCGAGTACCTCCGGATGGTCGGACCGGTAATCAAGATACTGATCATGTCATTCGCCTCTACTAGCTGCCGGCACGTCGGGTGGAGCAATGCTCTTTCAGGCGACAGCGCAGGAAATGATAGATGCGTACGCGCACGTCTCTAGACCGCATGGCAATGTCATTGCTCTCGAGGTCTTCGGATCAGGAATCATCGGGTCCGAGTGAGTTTCGGAGAGTTCTTCCCCTGCGGAATGATCACGTCCCGCTGATCTAAGCTCGACCTCGATGCACAGTACCGACTTCCGACAGTTCGTGCAGTACCTGGACGTGCCCGGTCTTGACGTGAGTCGCTGTGATGGGTCGTTTCCAACAACTCCCTCGGAGCTAAATCCCTCCCTCTCTCTCCTCTCGCTTCAGCTGAGCTTGGTCGGTAACAGCTACTACTAGTGAGCGAAACATTTGAAGACTCTGATATACGCTGCGACTGACTACTCGAAACACGTTTCAGCCATACTCATCGGGATACCGTCGAGAATATTGAAGCTGGAGCTGCTCAGGTAGATACCTACCCCATCGTACTTCGGACCATGGCGAATTCAAGCTGAATCTCTCATGTTCTTCGACGTCTACCCCGCGCAAAAGCATTTCGGCGACACAGTCCTGGCAGTTTTAGACCACCTGCTGAAGCCCGGCTCAGCCCTCAACACCGACACCCCTTGGTCACCGATGAACTCAGTATTTTACTCTCTCTACGACCGGATCTACATTTCGTACTCGATGAGGACGGCAGACCTTCTCTGTGTGGGGTCGCTCGTCGCCTTTGTCGCCCTCTTCTTCGCTCGGACCGAGAAGAACCACCGAAAAGTCTACTATAAAGCGCTGTTTGGCCCAATATTGGACTTGGTGACCGGCTTACTGGCGGCGATTGCGACGGCGATCTTGCTAAGGTACATCCTCAACAAGGGTCAAAGCTGGTTCACACACGAACAACTTCCTCTGGTCGTTTTCGGCTTGCCTGTACTCTCTGGTAAGCAGATACTTCTCCGAAAACTGTTTGTATCGTGCTGATATCGATTTCTACATCAGCCATGGCCATAAGACACTATTACTTCTCGCCTCAGTCCAGCAAGCGATCGCCTTCGGCACATGCTTTTGCATACGCGTCGGTCGCCTGGTCGTTCCTCTGTTCGACGCTACTACAATGTTTACGCATCAAGTCAGCCTACATGTTCGCCAACATGGGTTTGGCCGGGCTCGTCGTCCTGTTGTTCAACGAGTCAATCAATATGGCTATCGGGAAGCACGCGACTATGCATTTCCTGCCTTTGGCTTTATGGATCGCCATCAACATCTTTTTCGGCGTGGAAGCAATCACTGCTGTGAGTAGATATCCCAGCATCAATTGTTTCCTCCGCTGATTTATGCCAACCCGCAGTTCCTAGATATCTTTGTGCCTCTTGTAGGAAGGTGAGTCAATGCCGACAAGATTTCCCGGCGAGGCTCGCTGATAGGATGCCGACGTATCTTGATGAACAGGATGGGACGAGTGAGTTGAGCTTTGCTCTTGTACTCCGCTATACATGCGCTGCATTTGGGCTGATACAGAGTAATCCGTCTCACAGGATGCTCCGGGCGAGATCATCGTTGCCGTCATCACGAGCTTCCTTACCCACAACTTCCTGCCGTCCGCCGCGCCTTTCTTCCATCGATTCGACAAGAGACAGCAGCGTCAAATCGTCATATTTTTGCTTCTCTTGAGCAGCGTAGTGGTCGCCGTATTCGCCTCTCCCGCTTGGCCTTCTTATGACTCGACCCATCCGAAAAGGACCGGTGTGCAGGTGAGTGTCAAGTAGACGAAATGTGCGCCTAGCAGATCACTGACATATGTGCACGATCTGGATGCGATTTCGTTGCACAGTGGATGTACAATACTACCTCGGCAGAGACCTCTTTACACGTCGCACAACTGGATTCGGGACCAGGTTACGCCGATTTCGTGCAAAAAATCCACCAACGATACGGACAGCAAGCACACTTACCCGTCAAAGGCGGACCGGAGAATTGGGATATTCTGTATCCGGTTTCGCCTTTCATTGAAAGCCAGCATTTCCCGATCACAACCAACGGATCGCTCGCTCAATCCCCAGCTCCAGAACTGACCATCAAGCTCGTGAACAATCGCTTCGACGAAGTGTCTGGGTATAGGATCATGACAATCGAAGTGACCCATGTGAGCGCAATAATCCTTTGTGCGATTCCTGCAGCGGCACTGACTGATTATCTGGATGTTCGCAGGAAGGGATCTTAACGCCAGTTTTGTCTTTCTCTGCTGAAGTCATTCAATGGGACTTCAGAATCACGCCGCCCGTAGGCGAGTTGAAACACTACGTAAAAGCCAACGCATCCCCAGGCTCGACCACTTTCCAGATGGTCATGACGGTGAAACCCGCCGTCGAATTGGAGGAACATCGACTCGCCATCAGCTGGGTGGGCATCGGTAAGTACATTGTCAATACGCAGACCTGCGGACTCTCCCTGATTGATACACTCCGCATGCCCACAGATAAACGTCAACTGTATCCCGGAACTTCGCAGAAACATCCCGAACTCGCCGTCAACAAGCTTTTCAAGGAAATGGACGAATGGATTACTGACGAGTGGAACGGTTCAATGGAAGTGCTGATGTACGGCGGCGTGTGCGGCATTGTCGAAGTATAGGTTGTAGCCTATCATGCGACATCCAGGTAAAGGGCTTGCTCGCCAACAATCATAGAGCGGCAATTATTCGGATATATTATAATATAGTATTGCAAGGCATCGAGTGCCGACCTGATTTGGTGGATACAGAAACGGTCAAGCGAGCGCATAGAGACTGAGATAGATACAAGTGATGTCGTGTGCTTTTCGTGTATTAAGAGACGTCACCGAGCGAACCAGGGCGGTAAATCGGAGTGCTGCTTCTTAAAGCTTCCTGCCCAAAGCCTCGTTGTTGTCGTATCCAGCAGGATGCGCCAAGGGATCGTGGGTATGCGGGTGACCGGATAGTGGGCTTTTAGGGAGACCGACGTCATTGTGGAGCGTCGCCATGGAAGACCTTCCTCCATCAGTAAGGCCATGAGAAGCGGTAGGAGCAATTGTAGAACCGGTGGCCAGAAGCTGGCCGAGCATCGTCTCGATACGGTCCAGACGCTCGGCATAGTACTGATCGCCGTTGACGTTCGTGTCGAAGGCCTGCAAACCCTGAAAGCGTCTCAGTCATCACGTCCAGAACGATAAACCACCCGAAAATAGGTGAAACGAATGCGACGAGGACTCACGTTCGATGGTGCACCATGAGTCAGAAGATCTCCGAGACCCGCTCCTTGAATGGCCATCGTGGGTCCCTTGCTAGCGGATGCGTCCTCGTACATCTTTCCAGCAGCGACGTTCGGACCGGTCATGGCAGGCGCTCCGCCGCTGAGCATGGAACCTTGAGCAGGACTTCGACCGGGAGCAGGCGCGTCTCCATCCTCAGGTCCGAGAACCGTCTCGTATTCGAGGTACTTGATGAATTTGTAGAAACCAGCGGCGACGGTAGCTCCGAGCGCAGGTCCGAGCCAGTAACTACGAGACATTTGCCGACACGGATGAGCGATCGTGCAGTGGATGCGAAGCGGAACTTCAATCGACTTACATCCAGTGATACCCGTTGAAGGTCCTCAATACGACACTAGGTCCAAACGATCGAGCAGGGTTCAAAGATCCACCAGTGTAGTAGACGCTCATCAACTCGGCGATGAACAGGGAGAGACCGATGCCGACGGGAGCGAGGTAAGTAGCCTTGTGCTTCTCGGCGGCGAGCAGCAAGCTGAATCGCAGCGATGACAGAACGGGACGTTAGCGAAAGTTTCCGCTGACGTTGCTGCACTTCCGGACACTCACATGGTGATCATCAACATGGCAGTCATGAACATCTCGATGAAGAGGCCTCGGGCCACGCTGACACCTGGTGCCAACGAGGTCCTGACGTTGAGAGTTCCGGGAGTGAGGGCATCGATTATCGCAGCACCTATGGATGGAGAAGGAGGTTTATCAGGAAAGTGCGGAAGTGAAAGGGGAATATGGCTGGACTTACCGGTGATGCCCCCGAGAATCTGAGAGATCGTCAACAATGCTCCACGAAGGGGAGTCAAGGCTCCGACCAAGACCATTCCGAGCGAGACGGCAGGGTTGAACAGACCACCCGAGACTCTGATTGTGGCAAGCGATGGGGGAAGGGATACAGGGTGGAGTGAACCATAGACAGGAGGAGTGGGTGATGTATCGACGGCATTGCAGTAATTGTAAAAGATACATCGTCAGCAAACGGCGAGGCAACGTTGTTTCATGTCCAGCGGTCCAGCGTACCGGAAGAAGATCCAGGCGTTCACAGCAAGTGAGAATCCGAAACAGAGCGAAATGTAAAGGAGGGAGGAGGTCTATGAGCACGCAAAGGAACACGGCGTGAGCGGAAATCTTGCGGGAAAAGTTGAACTGCTAGTCAGAGATTTGACTCACGTTGACGGCAGCAGCAGCGGTACCATCTTGACCTTCCGTAGTTACTCCTGTCACCGAGTTGTTGGGAATGTTGGCGACGTTGGTACCTCCAAGGGCGAGCAGCAAGAAGAGGGTAGTTCCGACATATTCTCCGACCATGGCCACAAAGTCTGCAAGCAAGCATAGCCAACGATAAAGCGGTGAGCAACGAGCATTCCGACGACGTAGCAAATGCTAGCCAGACTCACGGTTCTTGATGGCCAGGCCGACGGGCCCCTGAGTGGGTCGACGGATGTTCCAATTCAAGGCGTTGGCATTGGGATCGATGCCATCGAGCCTGCCCTTTTCTTGGGCGTGTGTTGGGAGTGCAGATCTACGGAATCGTGCCATGGTGAGCAGGGTTTACTAGTGGTAGAGACGGAGAATAAATCGATCGGCGTAGAGAACAAGCAGGATTGACATCGCGAGTCGCGAGTCGAGCGATGGGCCACCTTTCATCTTTGCCTGTCCTATATAAACGCTGCTCGACGACCGCTCGAATTTCCGGCTCCCGTCTCATCCCGTCTCACCTCATGCCTCATTTTCTCATGATGTCATCGATTGTTCGCTCCACAGCAGGATGAGCCGCGGGACCTATTGTAGCCATGACCGACAGGTACGACGATGCCCGAACAAGGGGTAGTCACGAGGGATTCCAGTCAGCTTACCTCTGATGATCGTACGGAAGATGAATCACACATGGCAGCCGTTGTTCTCGGACACGAACCGCTCCTGGGCTCGAGGCAAGGGGTCGATCGTTCTTGTGTTCTGATCGAGATCGCGGAAGATTTATCGATGACGTCGTAGCTGCGACACGAAATCCGGTTCCGACGTTTGATATTACGCGCGCGCGCGCGCTTTCCCCTGGTTCACAGTGAAACTCGTAGATCTGAGTGGATGTTCGCGAGCAAGCTGCTATGATCCCAACGCCTCAAGAACGTAGACGTTGTGCTTTATCTTGCGGTAAAGTTTCTGAAAGCTGGCTGATCGATCGTCTTCGTTGCTATGGTGCCGAAGCATTGTTCTTTCCGGATGGCTCGCAACCGAAGTTTAAGCTCGGACAGTTACATGACCGCCGTGCCTAATCCCGTGAGAGATTCTAGTCATGTTGCCTACACCCGAGGAAGACGGCTTTGTGATCATTATCTTCGTTCTCTAACTACTAAGAATATAATTCTTGTCACGCAGAGTATTCATGGGTTCGCCCTCATACTGTCACGCGGACCCCAATACAACGTCTCCGTGGTAAGATTGTAGCAATCTCGTTGGGAGATAGGTACAGCAGAGACCGGCGATCAGGAGTCTAGTCCGTCGGTCCAGGCTGCCTGGAATAGCAATATCCACCACAGCGGTACCCGTATCCTTATGGGAATCGACACCATCAACTAAGGTAGTGCAAATGAGTGTTTATAACAGCATGCGCGGTCTTGACGACTGAGTTGTCGCAAGAACACCATGCACGTCCCTGGATGATCGACGTCATTGAGCAGGTCGAAGATGTTGCGAATGTCCATTTCCTGGCACAGGAACAGCGAGCTGTCACCTACTTAGATCCATGCTGAATTGCCTATTCGCTACAAGCTTGTCGGTGGTGCACCCCCTCCTAGTGCCGAAGGGCTGTGTCGCCTGCGATCGAGACATCGTGGCCACCAACGGAAGGTAGTAGACCGTGCAGACTGATGTCCTCCCCTCCGATATCGAAGTACCATGCTGAAACATTGGGATCATTGACCCATCAATGACGGACATTTCCTTTCGGCTTCGATATATTATAGATCCTTCATCACAGCCATCCTATATATGTCGCAGCCCAGTCGCAGAAGACTGTCAGACCAAAGTAAATCCCGCCCAACACCTTCTCCCCACAGCTGCTCAACCGTATAACCCAGGAGCAGCTGATCGTTTCTAACAGATTTGAAGTATGCAAAGAAGGTAAATATAATATCGAATGATCTACCCGGAGTGGAGCTGGTGCAGACGTTGGTTTCAGGTTGACACTGTCCGGAATCTGTCTTCCGCTGACTGCTGACCGAAAGAAGATCGACTGTGCAAACGAGAGGCAACTTCGAACATGTAATAGAAGAAGATCACGCTCAGGCAGCAGAACGACGTAATCGTGCGCCCAGAATCGTACATTCGATACGATGATCAATATTCACTGAGCACAACATCTCTGGCTCGGTCAAGCAGGATCATTAACATCGAAATCGTGGGAGACATGTGGAACGCTCGAGTTGCATCTGAGTCTAATGGACCAGGAAACATGTATGGCATATTCACGATTGCTTAGATCTTCTCTAAGCCACGGGAAGAAAGCCCATATGGAGCTATAATCCGATACAGTATGATTCGAACCCTTTTAAATGATCATACGTGAATGGCGTAGAACATTGCTCGTGACCCGTAATTATGGTTCATGCTGAAAGCGAACGTCGCAGATCGTCATGAAAGCGAAGGATGTGGGAGGCTGACCGATGTCTGAAGGCAAGTGGACGAGCGAAAGCTACGTAGCCCTCTCGGTCTTATTGGTGCAGTGACCGCACGCCACGAACCGACGGTTGTTGATAATGATATGCCGCACGGACGAAACTCTGTGTCGGCCGTTATGATGGCCTTGAGAGCGGATATTGGCTGTAGATGTCGACCTAAAGACAAAACGATTTCAGTATCACGATGTCACTGCGCTGCTATTCAGATACTCACACCGATAGCCGCTTCTAGCTCAATCTTCACTTTGTACGTCTTCTTCCGAATCCGACACCACTACGGTACCTCTTCGACCCCGATCTTCCCGCTTCCCTGACCCATTTCGACTTGTCCGTTCCTCCCCTCGGCCCGATCCGCCAGCCGAACCGGCAAGTCCCAACCCTCTTTCCGATTCAAACTCGGTAACGTCCTCTGTACAAGGTTTTTTGCGAAGGTTCATAAAATCAGCACAGCTGTTTCGAAAGAGAAAAAAGGAATGGACTTTCGCACTCACGAAGCTCGGCCGCCAACTCGCGCTTCTGCTTGAGCGACCTGGCTTTCCCCTTGGTCGGTTGTCCTTTCATCCCCAATGAACGCAAGAGCGATTCGAGATGCCGTACTTGAGATCCCGGCTGGTAGGAGACGGGGAGGATTGAACCGTTGCACGCAATCCGAAGAGACGAGCGAAATATGGACAGTCAGGTCATCAGGATCATGAAACCAGAGCCAGTGAGAAATACCGGCTTACCGAAGGACAGTCTGTAAATTCCTTCTTCCTGTCAGGTAAAGGTATATACCAGATTGATCAGAAACTGAGTGCCGAGGCGGACGGAACGTCGCGAGCTCACCACTGCTTCCTGACCCCACAGGCGGTCACGATCGCCTTCAAGTCCTTGACCCGCTCATCTTCCACGTCATGTGTCTTTCCCGTAGGTTTCGTCTCACTTGTCCTAGGTAGTTTCTGTTGTGTTGGAACAAGGAATGACACACGCATGAGAGATCCAGATCGGTGAGGCAACCGGGATACGTAACGCGCGCAGACTCACCTTGGGCTTCGAGTCCTCTCCCTGAACAAGCGAAAGTATGTGATTAGACTCGGGTTCTCTCAGGATTATAATGGCAGAAGATCTGCAGCTACGAACTTCACTCTTCCGTTTCCTTCCCGATCCATTGGCCTTGCCATTCTTTTTTGTTCGCGCGGGTTGTTCGTCTATGAGACTCGACATCTCGGAGTCCGACCGTGCGTCCTGGATTGAGCAGGTATAGGTACGACCGGTCAGGAACCAGTGAATCACACTCTGAAGATATCAAAGGAGTTCAAGCCCACCTCCTCGGGGATCTGCTTAGAGGTATCCGCTTCATTGGTAGATCCGGTCGTTGCGGCTTTGTGTCTTTCAATCCGGTCACGAGACTTCGTAGACGATTCAGCATCTTCATCCTGCTGTTCCCCTTGCTTGCTGGAGAGACTGATCTGGAGAATAGATAGTATCCATGAACAGGGCGTCACTTTTCGATTGAGGATGTGAAAATCAAGCAGGACTTGCAATAGCTTCCTCGATCATCGCCTTGAACGTCGACTTCATGTCTCCCGTCTTCAAAGCATCCGGCTCCAACTCCATGGTTCGTGCTGCGAAGAGCAAGCAAACGGTTAGTCCGAACGATCTACTGAAGATGATCTTCCAGAGTATGTGATGAAAGTGGACGGATTGTAGCAGCTCGAAAGCATTCACTCGTACTCACCGACCCTTTCCCTAGCGAGCTTGATGGTAAACAAGCCCGCATCGATCTCTCCATCCTCGTCTGCTTGAGTGACGACGGCTTGAATATTGCGAAGCAGCGAATCCGTGTCCATGGCAGCTTTTGTACTATCTCCGATGTTCGTAGCGTTATGGAACACCGGATTCTCCGACTTCACAATCGTTCAGGTTTCGTAGACAAAAAAGATCGAAGAGATGAAGGGATCGATTCTTGGGCCTCGAGCTGGATGACCCCAAGTTCGAGCGGAATTTCACGGAAGCAAATTTGAGCTGAAAAGCATCCGACCGGACCCGAGGCTACTGTCGGCCTTGTCCGAAGCGAGCTCCGATTGGCTCGAAGTCGAGGTCGAACCATCCCATTCGGACCTGCCATCTGCTTCGACCACAGCCATCGACCGTGTGCCTGTGAGGCACGTAACATCGAACTTTCACACTTGCATCTTGCATCATGCATCTTGGAACTTGCTAAAACTTCGATATCACGATCCGACCTATAAGCTACGAACAAGATGATTACCGGCATCGCCCACATCAACCTGACCGTTCCCGAGGGAAGCCTTCACCTCGCCGACGAGTTTTATCGAGACACCCTGGGTTTGAAGAAGGTACCCGTTCCGAAAGCTCAAGAAAACAGTTTAGCTTGGTGTGTCATAGCTCGTTTTCGTCATCTCTGGTCCTAGGATTGCTAGCTAATAATTTGACGACTTTCTTTCGCACCTGAAACCTTCCAGGTTCGACATCGGCACGAGCGGACAACAGGTTCACATTTCCCATCCCAACAACCCTTCCGAGCTACTCCAGGCCACCTCCCGTCAACATCCTTGCTTCAAGATCGGGAACATGGAAGGCCTGATCGAGCTTCAGACGAAGATCTGGGAGCATTACGAGACGGGAGGCGATTCCGCGCCCGTAGCTGCAGACAAGGTTGGCGGAGAAAACAGTGGTCAGTTCGGCTTGTCTCTAAGAGATTTCGTAAGCGGAACTTTCGGCTAAATTTCTCTTCGTGTATCGTTTCCATATTTCTCGTCATCAGGAGCCAAAGGAGAGGAATATCCTAGCAGGTTTTTCGCCCGAGACTATGCGAACAACAGGTTGGAATTCAGTCTCTAAGGGAGGACGTTTATTCGGAGGATACGAGGGAATCTTGTATGTCAGGTCGCCCATCCTGCTTGGGAACAGCTCGAAGCTCACTTTGTATCATGCAAATATATCAAAGGAATTAATTTGGGCTGTGGCAGGACGAACGTGTCACAGGCAGCCTCCTTTGTTGCCCCCCCTGTGGTTCAAGGGGTCATGACGACAGCAGCGGCAGGGATATAAGAACAACGATCCAGCCGATAGAATTGGGGCTCGTTCACCACCAATTATCCATAACTCTTCGCCACCTGCCTCGCCACTCCCTACCCTTCTTCATCTTACACCGCACCCAAACCGCTCTCACATCATGGTACAGCAACGCCTCGTTTCATCGACGCATCCACTAGCCGTCAAATCGCTAGTGGTCGGCAACAAGCTCCCGGCCACGCTGTACAAAGAGTACAGATCACTGTGGACTGAGGCCATCGCCCTTGCGCGAAGGCATCTCGCTTGGTTGACCGGTGCTACTCAGAAACCGAATGACGAAGATCCATCGGGAACATCGCTCGACAACGAGTCTCGAAGCATGATCGACTACTGCGTGCGGTCTTTCCTCCTCATCCACAACGCCTGTCTCGAGATCCGGAACGCCGCAGACGTGCTGGGAAGACTCGAGGTGGAACCAGGTCTACTGCGGGAGGCTGCTTTTGCGAGAAGGGCCAGTATCAAACTGCACAACGATCTGAAGAACATCGGCGCGGGCAACAAGCTCTACAAGAGGTGTTTCGCCAAAGACTTCTTGGCGGAAATTGACGAGCAGGACCAGGCTCGGGAAGACCTGTATGCGGCCTTCGATCGTGCGGTCTCCAAAGAAGCCGAAGGAGAAATACCGGCAGTTCCCAGCGCCAACTTGGAATCCCGGCAGAAAGACCTCTCGCTCCAGTTCAAATCGGATATAGCGAGCTGCAACTGGCCCACACTCGAACTGACCGAGGCCGAGGTCGCTGGTCTCCCACCGAAATGCATCGCCAAGCTTTTCAACCAGGACAAGGGCACGTACGAGTTCAAGTTGAAACCGAGCGTGTTTGAGCAGTTCATGAACAAGGCGACCGACAATGCAGTCAGGGAACGGGTTTACAAGGCTCATCTCGAACCCCTCCTCGCCATCGGATACAACTATGGTTACAAGTGGTACAAGCTGCAGTCAGAGGCGCGAGCGAACGAAACCTTGGGGGACGGGCTGGTCAGCGGAACCGGATTGCATGACTGTGCCGAGCTGCTCGACCTTTTTGCCGCGATCAATCGAGGAACGATGGATTCCTTGTTGTCCGAAACGGCTCGGATTAGAGCCTGTGTTGGGGGGAGCTCATCGCCGGAAGGTCAACTCGAACAGTTCCAATCGTGGCAAACCGAGTGGTACACGTCACGCTACGAAGCACAAATCAACGGCAAGCTGGGTGTCTCGGCGGCTTCGATCCGCTGTTGCGAATGGCCTCAAGTTCTGGACGGCCTCATGAATCTAGCTGGCGGGCTATTCGGATGCCGCTTCGCTCGGGATGACACGACTCCCGATGGTCAGGCAGCCAATGCTGCTTTCGAGATCTGGCACGTTTACGATGCACTCGAAGGCGATGAACAAGGCGCTGAACTGGGACGGATCTTTATCGATTTCGCTACGAAGCGTCGAAGCGGAGGCTCGCAATCAAACACCAGCCGCTTCATGCCGGTCCTCACTCCGGCTCCGTTGGGCAGCTCGAAAGCCCCGCAGGTGTTGTGGACCGTGTCACAACCGGTCACTCGGTTCTCGGTCACGGGCGTGCGCGTGTTGGCGTCGGATCTGGGGAGGATCATGGAAACGCTCTTCGCTCTGGCTATCGACCCGACCTATACGCCACCCGCACTTCAAGATGATTCCCAGCCTAGCCTATCGGCTTATATCATGAGAAACCTCTCGTTCGACGGCAAGACGCTCGACGACATGTTGAATCCCGCTGCACGAGCTCAGGATATGGGCAGGAAGATGAGGCGGTCCGCTGTGATATCCCTGACGCAATGGATTCGCGCGTATTTTGCCGAGACGCACGCTCTTGTAAGTCGAAGAACAGATATGATGGGCTTCGCTTCCGTAGCGTATTCAGATCTCTGTTCTGCTCACAGGTGGCGGCTGCCCATGCATTCGACGTCGATCGTTCTTTATCGGAGAACGTTTTCATCAAGTCTCACGCCGAAGCCGCTGCTTCGTGGGGGACTCACGTACCGTTGTCTTGCCGCCTTCCGCAAACCATCATGCGAGGAGGTCAATCCTGGCCCGGTCTCGTACGTCGCAGCTGCTTGAACGTCACCAACCAGGTCCTTGCCGCACAATTCGTTGCCAGGGTCCTGCCCGGCGGTCTCGAAGCCGGTTTCGACCAAGATCTTGTCGGGCACTATCGACAGTTCCTCCGGCATCAATTCGGGACGAACCGAGAAGGCAGTCGGCGTGCATTGTTGAACGTGATCGGGGGTTCCCTCGATGCCGAAGCGCTTTGTCGACGATTCGCAAGCGATGTGAAGGTCTTTGACGAGGAGGAAGACGAGAGGGCGAGGGTGTTGAGGCCGATCGTCCTCAGGCTGATCAAGCGACGGGCTGAACGGAAGCAAGGGACTTCGGTGGCCGAATAGGTCTAGTCTGTCTCCCGGTTCCGAGTTGGCTCTATGAAATTGTAGAACACCTTTTCTTGTATCGAGACGGATCTTCATTCTCTCTCTACCTTGTCGCTCGAGCTTCGCAGGATCCATCACGCTCAAAGTTGGAAGCGCGGGCTATCGATCCCACTTCGGGTAATCACGTGACACGCTTCGTCGGCTACCCCCGCTTTGGTTCGAGCGAACAATAGGGGAATGCGATGGTCATTCTCGAGAACACGGAGAACAATAAGCAACGTCGACCGAGCGTTTCATCTTTGCGATTGACCTGCTCCAGTAGCCAATAGTAGCATCCTGCTGATCACTAGAACCATGGGAAGGAATTCGCTTTCGACATATAGAGCCTGGTCGCTCTGGCAAGGTCGCAATCCCTCCGATCTTCATCAGAGATTCCGCCCGCCTTCCCTCAACGCCTGTTCCCTCGAATCGACATTATCACCATACAACTCGCTCTACACCCTCGGTGACTCAGCTTCCAATATCTACACATAAACAATCTGAGCGATACCTACACTATGTCTGCCGAGCCATTCCCACCTACTCGACGATCGAAACCATCCGCCTGCGTCTTTATCGGGCTCAATGTGCTCAGGGCGGTCAGCATCATCGCCATGGTTTTGCTGTTCGCTAGCCAGGTCTACGGTTGCACAAAGTAGGTCTCCAGGGCATGTTTGATGTCGTACGATGGATGGAAACTGATTCATACGCATTACACCTTTGTTCAGAGATGTCAAGGCTGTCAAAAACGCCGGCGTAACGGACGACGAGTACGAGTGTGATTACATCGAGTTTTCCTGTGAGCAAATTGGCCTCCTTGAGTCTTTATTGGTTCCCGTACTGACGAATGACTTCGAAACGATCTCCTCTAGCCGTACCGGATCAAGCTGGAGGCCTATTCTGGGCGCTACTATGCAGAATCTTCACTCGTGAGTACGGTCTGAAGGATGCAGCTGCTACGCAAGGATGAAAGCTGATCTTTGCCTCTTCTCTCGTTACGATCCCACTATTCGCAGTTCTCATCATCTTGATCCTCCTTCCGACCGAACTACACATCCCAACTAAACGTCTTCAGCAGTTGTACGCCGACAACCTTCCCATCATCTCTCCGCTTCACGGACTCGGGATGCTAGGTGTCGTTCAATGCTGGATTGCAGCCGTCGTGTTGGGCAAGTACGTTGGGAGGTTCGAGCAGGTGACCGGATGGATCGGGTTCATCGTGGGATGTCTGAATTGTCTAGCGGTAAGGCATCTACCCCACCTCGATCCTAGACCTTCAACCCACTCATAACGTCTTTGTTTCGCATCGACAGGGCATCATCTGGAGAGCCTCGGCAAAGGAGAAGCGCAAGATCTTCTCGTGGGAGAACGCTGCACAGCTGTGAGTTTGGCTCGATTCAGGTACACAAGGTTGCAAGCTGTCGTCTGAGATGACTGACATGTGCTCTGGCGTCGCATTCTCGTAGCACACCGCAAACCAAAGCAGCCCATGCCGCCTATCGGACCTGCAGCGACAAGTACGAAAAGTTCAACCCTATCATCAACGCCGTCGGGGATTTCGTATTGGAGAAACATGCTGCGCACAAGGCTCAATCTCAGGTTCCACGGGAAGGTGCCCGATCCAACGACAGTTCCGAGGTATCTTCGAGGCGCTCGGAAGACGACAAGAACGCCAGTTATACGGAACCTGAACTCGAACGTCCGGAGGCTAAGACGGACAAGGTCGTACCGGGCTTCAACTTTGGCGGATTCGGCTTCGGAAAGCAAAAGGAAAAGGGCGGAATGAATCTGACGATCAGTACACCGCAGGAATCGTTGCCTCGTAAGCAAGAATTGGTCGGAGCTCAGGACGAGCGAACATTGATCTTATCCTTTTTCCTCTCGGCCCACTAAACAGGCTATGCGTCGGCAGAAACGCTGCGCCGACCCCGATCCGACGTCTAGTCGCCACCTGCGCCTACTCACCTTCTCCGGAGTGACTGATACATTCGCATCTTCCTCACATCCATTCGCACATACATGATGGAACCCACGCTTCTGCAAACTGGGCTTCCAGCAACTTGTATTCTCTATCATTGACCACGCGTTCATTATACCCTCATCGTATTACATCGATCCCATTCCCCCAATCAGAAGAGCATCCCCTTGACCTGCTCGATCTCGCTGACCTTGATGTTGCGGATGATAGCAACACAGACGATGGCCAAACCCATAACAGCGGTACCAGCGATCAACATCTTGCTCTGGGCTTCCGCATAGGCCATTTGGATAGCGTATCGAGTCGGATCGCCCACTTCGTAGCTGAGTTGCACGGCCAGGTCTTCATAAATTGTTTCCCAATTGCCAACGGTTTCCGCAGGCAGTAGCCTTTGTAGAGCGTCGGGGAAGATGTGCGTCCAGATAGCACCGGAGATCGAGTTGCCGACGGCTCCACCGACGTTACCAAACAGACCGAGTAGGGCGAGCATGGCGGCGGCATCGTTGTGCGAAGCCACGGACAATACGGCGACTTGTTGGCAGATGATCATGGTACCACCGGCAAAGGCGATGAAGATCTGGCACATGACCACGTATCCGATGTTCATTCCAGGCTGCCTGAAATGAATCATAAGCCCGACCCCCAAGAGATAGAGAGGAACGGCGATCCAGAGCAGCCATCGGAAGTATCCCGTCTTGCGGATGAGGTATCCGACTCCCAAAAGCCAGACTCCGGATACGACGTCGAAAGTGCTGCCGATGTAACCCGAGGTAGAGATTGATAGGTTGAAGACGACCTGGAGGTACGACTGAAAGTATGACGCCCAGCAGTAGTAGGCGATTTGATACGTCAGGTCGCACAAGCATGCTCCGAGAACGGTACGATCCACCAGCAGGACGTAGGGGATGAACGGCTTCGGCGACACGAAGCGCTCGACAAGGCCAAAGGCAACCAGCATGACGAAACCGATGACGAGCATCGATACGATGGAAGCGGAGCGCCATTCATCCGACGTGGAGGCGGCCAACGAGAATGGTAGAAGGAAAAGCACGAGACCACCCGCCAGAAGGAAAACCGCCAGGACTGTCAGGTGAAGGAGATCGGTTAACTCGGGAGATGGCGCAGGTAAGAGAAATAATTCAGTGGCAGACTCACGATCAAACTCGATGATGTAGAACCAGATGGCCTCGCGCCACGTGCGGCCGCTCTTGTTCTTGACAAGCAGACCCTGTCTAGTCGCCTTGATCTTGTTGTATTGCAAGACGCTGAATAATGGTGCGGCCACGAACGGCAAGATGATGGCGAAAGACCCATATCCCCACCGCCAGTTGGTGTCATAAAACCCTTCGGCGGACTTGGGTCCAGCGAAAGCCGTGATAATGTATGGGCTGGAGGTGAAGGCGTAGGCGAGACCTCGATCGCGGAGAGAGGACGTGTCCGTAGTGATGATATCGATCGACAAGATCAAGCTGGTGAAGCCGACGGAGGTGAAGACCTAAGAGAAGTATGAAAGTGGTCAGGCGGCGTTCATGTAGGTAGGTTGTCGCGTTGGACTCACTTCAGCTGCACAATAGGTGGCAATATTGGTGCAGGTCGCGCTTAAGATCAAACCAACCACTCCCAACAGGGTCATGAAGGCGAAACCATACGACCGGTCGAACAGATTGAGGATCTTTGCGACCAGCATGTAGGAGGCCGCCGACATGACATTGCCGACGATGGCGATGACGGGGATGAGCGAGTGGGCTTCGAATCCGCTGACAACATAGGCGCCTAGGTTGGAGGTGATTGCTGAACGGAACGCGTTGACGAAGTAGAGCAGGAACATGCTGCAGATGCGTGGGTCAAGAATGGGTTAGTTAGTGTCAACCATGAATGGTCGAGCAGGTGTACAACCCCATACGCACAAGATGTATACCACTGTCAGAGATCGCTTGGACCAAACCGCCGTGATGGCTTCCATCTGCAGGACTCCATTCTGCGGCTCTTCTTCATCGCTATACCCGAGCTGGTCGACTGGAGGATAAGGATCGACCGGATGGCTCGCCCCGAGATGGGGTCCAACCTTGTTCTCGTCGTCCTCGTACTTGTCGTTTCGAGCCTCTTGCTCGGGATTTTCGCCAGAGAGAGTGTGTAGGTCAGACATATTGACGCGCCGGGAGTTTTGAGGAAGACGAAGAGTAGCAGTCCGCTCAGAGTCAGAAGTTTTCCCCTCACTGATACGACGTATATATGGGTTACGGGTGAGCATGCAGCGGGTCGGCGAGTTTTTTCTCAACCGTTATCAGATACCCCAAGCGAAACCTATTTCCGGTTGTCGTCCGCTCGAGCTAAACTCTAATTTGGCCCGAAAAGCCCCCTCGCGCTCGATGCGCAGAGACCCGTCGAACCTGATGTGACCGAGCTGGATGACCGAACTACCTTGGTCAACGCGGAACCTTGCGAAGCCGGATCAGAGCGGAGATTGACCGGCCGAACCCCAGGACCACCCGTTTGAACTTTGAGACGGACCGCGCGCTTCAGTTTGGCCTCTCATCGTGCATGCAAAAGGTGCAGAATAACATCGATTGACCGAAACCGCCGGGGAAGAAGACTGTTCCGAAGTATGGAAGCTTGAAATGAACGAGTCAAGCTCCCTTGGTTTTCCCTTACTTGGATCGATTGTAAGAGGGCTGGATGCGACTTGACTTGAAATGTCTGCGGATTGACTGTCGCGTTTGCGTAGGTTTCACTTCGGTGTGTAAACACACAAGGAGAGCGCGGAGCCTTCGCAAGATATTGCAGGAGATCTCTCCTTCCGTCTACCCGTATTTGCTAGAACGATCGAAAAGTAACGTACCCGAATCCCACCCATGGCCGCCAAGCTCAAAAGGGATCCTCATGGATTTCGCTAGGCCTTGCCAACCGTCGTTTCTCGCTCTGTACTTCGCCAGGGAAGGAGCGGGAAGAACCTTGTTTCATTGTCCAGCCATCACATGTGGACACAATCGTCAGATCCCTTCGTTGTCTACCCGCGTCACCAGGGTTTGACCTTTCCTTTTGACTTGACCGCAAGCCGATTCGATACCGGTCAAGTGGGTATTGAGTCTGGAATGTGCCTCAGCGTCCTCCAATTGGTTGATTGATTGAACTTGTGGGAGGTTATACACTAGGGCCCTTGGCGAAACCTCTTAGGTAGTCGTAGTCTGCCATCGCCTGTTGTATACATTGATCGACCTTTTCCACGTTCTCCTCCTTGACCGGTTCGACGTTACGATGCGAGACCTGGCCGACGCCTTTAGATTGCTCCGCCGACGTATGGAAGCCGGGCCACTTGGCACTGCAAGACAAAGGCGAGATGATCAGTAAGCCCTGATACCAAAGCGGGTAGATAGTCCAGCCTGCGACTCACAAGTGCTCCCTCGTTCCCTCGTTCCAGGTCAGCATGTTTTCATCGAAGTCGATCCCACAGTCGTCACACCAGAGCTTCATCACATCTTTCGGGTTCTTCAACAGTTCCTCGCTCTCGATTAGGAGCGGTGCTGGCCTTCCTTGTCGCTTATTAGACTCTCGTACCACATCGAACAGCATGCGGAGTTCCCGATAGCCAGCTTCTTCCGGATCGAAGTAATCGAAACCCGTCTCGGACCCGGGATAACAGAGCCGTTCGTACGAGGGAACGGCTTTGGAAGGATGTCGGATGAGGAAGGTGTGGTGGACAGTCGGGTCGGTCAAGAGGGCGGTAGGGATGAGTGACGAGTTATCGTTGTCACCTCCTTCAGAAGTGAGCGAAGGAACCGACGTGACGTTCGTAGATCGAGCTTGGTTGAAGATGTACTGCAAGGATGAAGACCGTTCTGGTCAGTAAGTATAAGAGATGGACCCAAGGGCAGCAGGTGAGTGATTGACATACCTGAGCCATATCTTTGCTAAACGTCCTACTCGGTCCTTCAGTAGTCGCGTCTACCATGTTTCCCCAGACCTAGCGAACCTGAAGGTTGAATCTTCTGTTTAGGACTGATCATTCGCGGAACTTGCTCACCTTGGCGAAAGTAGAATCCTTGAACTGAGGGTACTCCTTATCACAGCATTCTGGCGTATATCGGTTGGATACTCGCTCCGGTCCGAAGTAGAAAGCGTCGCCTACAGAATGTGAGGGCCGGTTTGTGAGAACATCGTGCGTTCTAGTCAGCTTAAAGCGATCATCTCCAGATAAGTAGAGAGAGCACGAGCTCGGTTGACTAACCCATAGGCTCATGTAGTACCCGGAACTCGTCCTGTTTGTTCAACATACAGCATTCGAACATTGTCGAGGTAGATCGCGGATGGACCCAGAGGATGACGGTCCTCGGGCGGGGTTCAGCTGGAGATGGAGCAGACGACATGATGACGCAGAGCGGGATGATCTATCTCGGCGGAACTGGCGGGCAGTGTGAGTCGATTAGGTAGGAAGAGTATCGATGATGAGAACATACATCTCTACAGCAACATCCAATTCTATCGTGTCGAGCCTTTGAGTAATCTTTGCTCGAGCGGATTGTCCGTCCCGAGGCAGAAAGCCCCACGTTCGTTTTAAGCGAGAGGGATCAAGGCACTACTACATTCGATGCCGTCATCAGCTTCCGAAATGACACTAGCGCGAACGAAGTATAGTCGATCTGGCTTCGCAACGACATCGACCAGACAGCGGGCATCCAGAACTAGATTCGACGCTGACGATGCGAGTCGAAGCAGAGGTGTGGGAGGCGATGACACTACTTATGGTAGTTTGCAGTCGTGACGGAGTGACTGCGAGTGATCTCGAAGGCGATGCGAAAGACTTCGCACGCGGGACAAGTTGCGAAACGCCCACTTCGAAACATATCGGTTTTCGCTCCTACGTACTCTAACAGAAGCTATCTCATGTTCACTAATGACATTAGCTGCATGACTACTCTCGTTGACCCAACATGTTACTATACATCATGAACAACTCTTTGTGTATCACTGTCCATCTCTCGTTCAACCGAAATGCATGGATCTCATCCGGCGCCTGTGGCCGCCCAGTGCACATTGTCGTTCGATTATTGGCTTCATCCTTTTACGATCATGTTCTGAGTGTCAAAGTCTGACTAGCTGTTCTGCTCTCACAATAGTCCCGGGCCCCGACCTGTGCTTGATCAGAGTTGGATCGTCCCAATCCTCTCGCTTCGAGCGTCTGCAACGCCCTTTGCTTTGTGGAGTATCCTTCGAACTCAAGCTCGTCATCGGCATCGTCATCGACATCCGAAGCCATATTGCCGAAGTCAATCACGTCGAAAGGGGTCCCGGGTCTTTCCCTCATGGCGGCCTGCTTTGCAACATCTTTGTCGGAAGCGTCCTCGAGGGTGACTTGAACTCGTAGAGCGCCTCGCCCATGGCTAGATCGATCGTCGATAGGCGCACGAATCGTTTGGAGAACCAGATCTTGCTCGTGGAAGCGAATCTGAGATGGCTTGCGGACGTCAAGCACCGACTTGGCCTCGCACGAACAAATGTTCTGTCCGGTCGAATGGAACACTTCCGAGCAGCCACCAAGGAACGAGGTGTCGTTCACGTCCAGCATCAGACCGAGCGGAATGAACCTGATAAAGAGCAATAATGCCAGGACATCGATCGCCGCCAGCCAGATGGATTGCATCTTGAAATTGTCTGCTGCAATTGCGGGTGTCCACGTAGAAGTAACCCCTAAGCGGAACGTCCCTGCAATCGGTATTTGAAGGCTTTTCGTGCGAGGCTAGATGAAACGCGCTTCCCCTCAACGTCGCCACTCCCCCTTTGATTCGATAGAGTTTCGTCCTAGACGACTGAAACAGACCCCCAACGCTCCGCCAGTACCAGGAGAGGATGTTTCGCTAACAACGTTTGTTCTATCGTTGACTGAATGAGCTGATCGCGCAGATGTATAGGCGTTATTGTGCCAGGGTTTAGGTTTCCGATTCGATCGAGGCGTCGAAGCTCGGCGACCTGATTTCGCTTCTCTGTCCGGGCAGCGCGATCTCTCTACCTCGAGCTGCGTTCGGAGCCGGGTTTTCGTTTTCAGCTCCGATGCGGAATTCGACAAAGTCGAAGCCAAAACGTGATGCACTGAGTTCGGTCCCGAAGCGCTCACGTCCTTCGGCCGTCTGCGCATTAGCTCGACCTTGTTTCGACACAACCGGGATTCCGCTTCACGTGAAACGATCCGCGGTGCGTTTTGTATCCGCTCCGCTCGATGACGTCAGTCAGCTTCCGACGTCATCGCAAGCGATCACCCATCTCGAACTGCCTTACTTCTCGATTCTCCACAATCCCACCTCGACATCTCGCAACACGAACAAGGTATTGCTGGGCGGGCCATCATATTCACTCAGACCTAGCTTGAACCGTCTTGCATACCTTTTCCCAAAGGACAATCCGTTCGCCATGTCGATGAACCTGCCTTCGGGTCCGCCAAAGGCTCAGTCGGATCCACGAAAGACTCGTCCCACCGCCGACCTCTTCACTTCGACCCCACCTCCCACCGTAGAGACCTTTGGAACCCTTCTGGTCTTGCCATTCAATATCTCACCTACAGCGTTCTCCAAGCCTGATCCTGCTACTGGTCAACAGAAAGCTGGAGGACAAGGTCGAGCCGAGGCCGAAGGAGAGATCAAGGAAGGCTTCAGGAGGTTGATCGCCGAGCTGCAAGGAGCGGGATTGAAGGTTACGACTCGGGTCAGCGGAGATGGTGTGAAGATTTGGGTCTTTGTCGGGGCGGAACAGAGGAGATTGGCCGAGCTCGCAGCGAGGGAGAGGTGAGCCGTACATGGTTGATGATGGCGTTGGGACCTATGCGGGTTTACTGACGCTCTATGTCACGGCTTCTTCCTTTATCCTTCCCTGATATCAATCATGCGATCTACATACTACTTTGACCTTGGTCTTGGTATCGCAATCTCCGGATTGTCACCGCCTCAACTTCATCACATCCGATCCTGCCTCGATTCGACTGCCCGCAGACGAGAAGACTTCCTCCATTCGATAACAACGTCTACTCGTCCCACCCCATACAGCTCGACTCTCCCAGACGCCGACAAGATCCGGCTAGTTACCGAGCTTATCTCAACCAACACCTTGCAAGGTAAGTTTCACTACATCACATCTCGCCGTCCTCTTTGAGCTAGAGGCGATGATTGATCCGTTCGCACCGTGTTTTCTTCCTTTGCAAAGGCGGACTCGGTATCACGCCGGGAGAAGGTGCTTGGCGGCGAGTCGAAGGGATCGTCGGGTTGCATGATGAGCAGGTCAGTACGAGAGTGACGTTTCGGTCGAGACTTTATAGCGATCAAGTGAAAGCTGATGATCACATCTTGTCCTTCTGCTCTCGCTGTTTGCGCTCGACCACATCCTCGAATCCTATATCACGACCACTCTCATTCCTATACTAGGCGAACCACGCATGGGTACAAGCCTGGCTGACCAAACGTTGGACTACCGGGCTGTTCGGCATGGGCAACGAGAGGGACGAGGAAGATGATAGGACCAGGATTCTGAACATTGCAAGTCTCTCCGCTCGTGAACGCATTTTAGCTTGGCACACCAACTCATCCTTGCGAAATTCTCCTGTCGACAGTACGGACCTTCGGTGGCGCTCTACTTTGCCTTTGTCTCGTTCTACGCTCGGGCTTTGGGACCTTTGAGCGTGATCGGTGCGGTATATTGGCTCGGTTCCAAGGGTGAGCTTGACACCTACCTCCCATGTCGATCCGCCCGCTCATGACAGTCTCGTTTCGTTTACATTGTGTGTACAGGGGTATACGGCAAGATCGCAACTCTCATCGGACTCGAAACGTGGGCTTATACCGGAGGCCTGCCGGAAGCTGGATACGGCTGGTCCTGGAGCTGGACGTACGCTGCCGTGGTCGGGATCTGGGGGATCGCCGTCACCGAGGGATGGAGGATCAAGGAGCGCAAACTTTCCGTTCAATTCGGAACGTTCAGGGTCACCAAGGTCAGCAGACTGCGAGCGCAATACCTCAGATCACTTCCCGGGACCTATGGAGGGGCCGCCCCATCCATCACTGCCATCGACGCGCTCAATGCCAGTCACTCGGTCAGCGGCGACCCGACCTTTATCGCCAGAGAAGCCAAGATCTTGGCTAGCGTCCCGGTCATCATCGGACTGGGCCTCGTCCTCGGAGCTCTGTTGACATCGATCTTCATCTTCGAGGCGTTTCTCAGCAAGCTTTATGACGGTCCAGGCAAATCGGCCTTGGTGAGTCGTCATCGCCGTCCGGGACTTGTGGTATGCCTATGCAGTCGAGCTGATTCCCTAAAATTCAAAATTGCGTTTTCAGGGCTTGATCCCTACCCTCATGTTCGTCGGTGTGGTACCCAACGTCTTGGCCCTGTATCACTCGATCTCGGCCAGATTGACCAACTGGGAGAACCATCCCACCAAGTCCAGCCATACCGCCAGTCTGACGGTCAAGACTTTGTACGTGTCCGAATGCCTTTGACCAACTCCGACCGCGCTGACCTATATGCTGTACACCCTTGCAGCGCTATGAACGCGATCGTCGCCTACCTCGGTCTCTTCCTCTCGGCTTTCATCTACGTGCCCTTCGGCGAGCTCATCATGGCTTACCTGAGCAAGACACCTCAGGCTGGCAAAGTCCCGCATTTGCAAGCCGAACAGACTGGGCTCGGTCCGCAAACAAGTGTCGGCGCTCGCGCCGTCGTCAAGACCGATAGGTTGGCGGGACAGCTCTTTGCCTGTGAGTTTCGCTAGCCCACTGGCAACATTACCTCAAATCGCTGACAGTCGCATTGCAGATACCGTCACGAACCAAGCGATCAATGCCTTTACCGAGCTTGGCTTGCCATACATCAAGGAGTACATCGCAAACTATCGTGGAATCAAGGCGAACCGGGATGCTGGAAAGAAGACGGGTGCCGAGCCAATGAGCTTGGCTCAACGTGATCCCCGAGAGAGGAGCCTCTTGAAGAAAGTCGATCGAGAGTTGGGCTTGATCGAGTACTCGAATTTTACCGGTGAGTTTTCTCTTACGAACCGCTGCCCGAGCCGAAGATAACTGGCTGACTTCCACATCAACGTCACAGACTACGCCGAAATGGTCACTCAATTCGGTTACATCACCGTCTGGTCGGTCGTCTGGCCTCTCGCCCCGTTGTTCGCTCTGATCAACAACTGGTTGGAGCTGCGAACGGATGCTGCCAAGATTGCAACCCACGTGAGGAGACCCATCGCCGAGCGTGTCGAGAGTATTGGACCTTGGTTGAACACCATGGTACGTTCAGGTTCAGCCGATCTTGCTTACCCTATGGCATGCACTGATCTTGCGCTCCATCTCGCAGTCCTTCATCACCTGGCTCTCGTTTGTCACCAGCTCCACCCTTTGTTACTTGTTCCGCCCGAACCTCGAACTCCCGATCAGCGATCAATCGATCAACCCGAACTCGAACCTTACTACCAGTTACTCGACGTACGGCTCGGGCTTCCTGCACACCGCCATCGAAAGTGCGCTCTGGACCAAGACGGAGGGCTCTGAAATCGGCGGATCAGACTACCTTCCCCGCTGGATGGCCGAATCGGCCATGGTCAGGACGGCTCTCCCGATGCTCATTCCCGCCTTATTCGTCGCCTTGGTCGCCTCGCATGGCTACTTTGTCGTCCGTCTCGCCGCCCGACAGATCGCTGAGAAGCTGATTTGGGAACCGAGTGCCGAAGCCAAGGCTTTGGAAATGAGCGAAGAGGCTGTGAAACGCAACTTTTTGCAAGGAAAGTTTGATGACGGTCTCTCGGCGATCGGTGGCAGCGTCCAATCCCAGTTGGAAGACACGAGATTCGCTCAGGCTCTACCGTTCTGGAGGGGAGTTGAAGAAGGGACACAAGCTATTGCGTCTGCACTGAAGCACGAATAGACGTTTACTCACAAGACGAGCTCGACACGACCTGCAATCACTCTGGCTTTCCTCCATTCATACTCTCTTATTTTGACGGAGCGATCTCCCTACAAACAACGCCGGTCACGTCCGCCTGTTGTATATAGTTCTTCCTTCCTTTGCTTGTTACTCGGCTAGACACGTATATGCCGCACGACTCTTATGAGACTGAATACCCAATGCTCGACAACCGAGCACTTCGAAACGTTTAGCATGGGTCAGGCGCATCAGCAAGGAGCCTACAACGGATGTCTCCACGTTTCGCTTCCTTCGCTACGCCAAGTGAAACAAGACTTGGCAAGGGCGCAGAAGACATCTCCTGTTTGAGTCAGGAGCTATACAAAACCCCTATCGATACTTCCTTTGCTCGAACCCCTACTTTCACCTGCCTCCTTTCATGAAAACGGGCTTTTGAGGGGATCGAGCGAGCATACACGTTTTAAATCCGGATCAAGACTAGGGGTCGGGAGAGGCGCGTTCGTTTCATCCGGGCGAGATCTCATCCTTGCGGCAGATATAAGATGTGAGCGACGTCCGACTTCAGTATGAGTCTCGCCACGACTCTTTTGATCGCAATCGTCAAGCATATTTTTTTCAAATCGATATATAAGGCATCTCCTACCTACCCACTACTCTTAAAATGGTGACCCATCAATTCGCACTGCTAGCGCTATTGGCGACGCTTGCGGGTCACGTCACCACTGTCAACGCAGGTAATTCCCTTGGTAAACATCAATATCTCGTAGACTGCTTGGATTATGCGAAAGCCAGCATAGGCTCTCCGGGCGAAAAGTCTCCGGAAAATCAAAGGAACAAAGGGACGTTCTGGAGTGCGACCGAGGTCCTCGACATGGCTGCAGCCGTCAACAGACCCGCGAACAAAGATGGGTGGAATGGCGAGTGCGGCGTCGCATTCTACTATGACGATATGGCTCGTCGCTTGAAGTCTCTCCAGTTGAAAAAGGAAGCCGTCGCGACATATGCTAAACCTTTAGCAATAGCTCCCGTCTGCGAAGGGGACTTCAAACCCAAGGCGGACAGCAAGTATCCGGAATCTAGCGGTGACGGGAACCGTTTCACATTTGAGCAGTACCGACCCGCTCCGGAGGGCGGCACGAAAAACGACGCCTACTTCATCTTGCAGTGAGTGTTATAGTCCGTACTTAGAAAAGCAAGGCAATCCTGAGACTGACTTGCCGATGTTTCGAAAGGAATGCCAAAAATGCGGACGCCGATTGTCTTACGCTCGAGGACTTTGGCAGTATACAATGGCAGTTCCCCGACAAGGACCAGGCCGTCATTCAAGAATTCTGGCAGAAAGAGTCGCAGAAAGGGTAAGTCACCCCCTTGTCCCTTGCAGTCTCGAACAACACCGCGTCTGACTTTACCCGTCAACAGGAATGGTGTTCCCGAGTTCACGCCCGACTTGTTCAAGGACTGGGTTACGCAATACGCAAGAGACGGGCGCGATGGAACCATCTGCATCCCCAACCCCAGGAAATTCGGCAAGGGTATGTTCAATCTACGTTCACACTCGGAAGCTGCGTTAAACAGATCAATTTTATAGGCAATATCAAATGGTCCAGCTGGAACTGGTTGAGCACAATGTGGGGCTACAAAGACGATGACACTTGGAACACCGACCCCCCAGCAGCCAGTTCGAGAAGGCGATCGCGAATCGAAGGTCCTTTATGAATGGGATCGATAAGGCTCCGGTAGATCCGACCCCACTCCCTGTTCCCTAATCAATCCTTCACTTCCATTCTGTATTATGTACTACTTCCCTCTCCCGATTCTCATGCTAGATCGCATATTTTCATTTCGCCTCGTTTCGGAATGCGTGACGGTAAAGACAGGCGCGCGCTAAAGAAATGGCTGGACAACGGGTAGAGATGGCGGGTAGCATTGGTTGGGATCGAAGGTGCATTGGAAGATTGCCATACACTTGTCCCACCGGCTCGGTCCTCGTCAGAGGCCGGAACCATGCTCTCCTATTCTTCCAGTCCGGACGATACCAACTCGATGTCTCTTCCTCCCGCCTGCACTATCTCACGGGTCGACGAACTCGACACCGCGCTACGGAACTACATCTATGAAGTGCATCGTGCTCTTTTCGGAAGCCTCTGCCCTCCAGAACAGACTCTCAAGGGAATCGACAACGTCGTGCAAGCCATTAGCGATCGACATGCCTGTTTTCTTGTCTGTCGCCTGGACGATATGATCGTGGGCATGGTCGGCTACCTAGAGTACAAACGCCGTTTCCGCAAACCCGACAATACGCTACGAAACGATCTGGCTTACCCCGGCGAGACTGTCGTAGAAGTGATGAGGCTGTTTGTAGACCCCCAACTTCGGTCTCGAGGCGTCGCCACCATCATGGTGCAGGAATTGGTCCGACGAGCGAGATCGGCACACGTCGATGTCATGTACCTCCACACGCACGATTTCCTGATTGGCGCGCAGCAATTCTGGGAGAAGAACGGTTGGAGAGTCGTAGCAAAAGACGACGATGAGCCTTGGAACTCGGTTCACATGGAGATGCGTTTGGCAACCGGCGAGGGCGGAGTGTCGTGGCTAGTCGAGTGAGGTAAGGCGCTGCTCAAGCGCGGACCGAGGACATGACCTGCGGTGAAGGCTTACAACTTTTCCCGTCTATAGCGGTTCGTCGACAGGCGGATAGCTGCGTAGTTCTAGCTGCTGTTTGAAATGATTTGTGCCACGAAGCAGTCGTTGGCCAGTGATGGAATGCACGTGTTGGAGATAGTGCGTTTCGAAGATCGCGCACGCAAAAAGCGATTCCAGCTGGAAGCGGTCAAAAAGCTTACCACAGCTGGGAATCGAACCCAGTGCTATTCCTTGGGAAGGAATAATGTTACCACTACACCACTGAGGTGTTCATTTCCAGCTTGCGTTTCTTTTGAATTACAATGTTGAACAACAAAGGCTATCCGAAGCGCGGACATCGTTCGACCCTCTCGGACATCGAAGCATCTTCGAACTCGACCAAAGCCGATCTTTGCGGAAGCGAATTGTCAGAAATTTGGTCGTTCGCACCGCTCTCTCATCGATTTCTTGTCTCTCACCCTTGGATTGCGAGATCGCCCTCTCTTCATCTGCTCTTCACATCTTATCTGGACAGTCAATCTAGTTCAAGCTACCAGATTCGCAGACGTATCGGTGCTGCCGCGAGTTCGACATAGCAAATTTATGGTTCGAGACGCCTCAGTTACGACCGGCCCAACTTCGACATCGAAACTTTGAGTACGAATCGACCTATAGAAGTAGGCTAGACGGAACGTAGACTCGCGATCTATTCAACGGTGATCAGCCAAACTGTGAGTTCTCATCCATTTCTATTGATATCTCGAAGCAGGATGTTAGTGGCCACTCGATCTATCAGCCGGCTCCCCTTGGCCTCGAAAATATCGCGAATCGAACTGATCATCATGTCACTTGTCCACCATCTACAAACGACTACAATCCCACTTCAGTATCGCAATATCTCACCAGAATCATGGCAACAGATTCTCCTCTTCCACAAACGATCGCTGCGGAGTCTTCGCCAGTCGTAGCGACTTCTGCTTCGGCAGTGCAACCCGCGGCTCCGCAACAAATCCCTTTCACGCCTACCCCTTCCTCTTCCGATGCTCCAGCTGTGTCAGCCAACTCGAACGCGGTACTACCACAAAACATCCTCCCAGCCACATCGGAAACGACCCACCCGAACAATAATCCTACGAAGAAGCCCCGCAGGCGGATGAATAGGTCTCGTACGAACACGGTTGCTCAACCGGGTGTTTCGCAGGATATCGGTGCGGCTCCGACGGGTGCAGTCGAAGGGAGCGGGCCAGGAGTAACAGACACAGAGTCGAGTGGGGTCGATGGAGAGGTTGTTGCGAAGCAAACAGAGGATGGGAAGGAGAACTCGACGAACCTGGCCGTCATCAGCAAAGACCCCGGTTCGTCAGCGGGGAAGGCGAAGGTCATCAAGGCCAAGGGCAAGGCGGTGACGGTGGCCAAGGTGAAGAAGGCGATCGAGCAGGCCAAGAAGGACAAGGGGTCGTTGAAGAAGTCGGGCAAGCAGGGAGGTCCTACCGGGAAGCAGCCGGCCGGAAAGGCGAAGCCGGTGGTCGGGAAAGGTCGGACGAACGGCAAGGGAGATTCGAAGGGCAAGGAAGGTGCTACAGCGGGTGTAGGACCAACCAAGAAGGCGGTCAATGGCTCGCAGGCTCAACGACAGCCGAAACCGAATGCTGGAGCGACTGCGTCGGGCAACAAGGGTGCTGCTCGGAAAGACACAAAAACGGCAACAGTCAAGAACGACATCGCTTCATCTCCTGCATCTCCGATCGCTTCGCCTGTGGACGTTACTTCTACCGACGCAACTCCCAAAGTCGCCTCTCAGACTTCTCTCCTCACATCCTCGACCTCGGACGAAATCAAAACCACCTCGCCCGATAAGAAAGGGGCACCGGCTTCGATGCGACGTCCTCGTCCGGGCAAGGCGGCTCGTCAGCAAGCCAAGTTGGAAGCTGCTACCAAGTCCGAAGAGTCGACCGTGCAAGGGTTACTGGTGGACCCGGTGCAGACGAACGTTGAATTCACAACGGCAGCTACGGCATCAAGCCCCGTACCGGAGTCGTCTGCGCCCTCGGCCAAGAGCTCGGAACCGGTTGCGCAACCCGTTCCCGTAGTCTCGGTTGATACGGACGCTGCAGCTCGAGGCACCAAGCGACGTCGAGCCAACACCAAAAGCGGGCCTGTCAAAACGGAAACTTCCGCCGCCGGAGTCGTCCCAAACATCTCTGCCGGCAAGAACCAAACTCCGAAACCCTCTTCATCACAATCACGGCCCGCCAAAAAGGCCAAATCTGATGTCGCCAAGCCTGCTTCGACAGCAGTTTCAAAATCGCAGACGACACGACAAACTAAAGGCAAAGCGCCTCAGACACCCAAAACGACCAATTCGACTGCCACATCCGCCCGCTCGGTTCAAGCCCTCGAACGTGAACTCGAACGTACCGTCTTGCAGCTCAAGATGGCCGAGCTCGAGGTACAGAAATTGAAGCTGGAGGCGGAGTTGGCGCAGAGCCGAGATCTGTGATTTCCCTGAGAATTAGGTCTAGGTAAGTACATGGGACTTGGACGTACCATCTGTTTCCATAGAACACTGACATGATCACATCTACGCACGACCTAGATTTCAGCTAATACAATCACGAGACGTTAATCCCTTGACATCGACCAATACAATACGCTCTGAACCGGACGCTGAGGGTACAATCTAGATTCGTGAACGAATTCGGAAACCGCCGTCTCGCAGATAGCAAGCAGGTTGTTCGATCTTGAGATCCTCTAGTTGTACATCTGGCGCAATATGCCTCGACATGATTGCATCTTATAATAAGAACATACCAACTTCACGAGCAGACGCTTTGCATGCTCGTCAATATATACGCAAACAGCGAAGTGGAATGCTTGCGATCAGCCCGAGAATGGCTTTCAATATAACCATCTCTTGGTTGTAGGGAACTCTACCCTCGTTACTTGGTCAGAGGATCTTCGCGTTCTCAGGCCTTATGCAAGAGGGGAACTTGGGCACGGAGCGAGGGCAACTACAACTTGAGAAGTGCTGATTGGCAATCGAAGGCCGGTCTCCCAGTACGACGGGCTTGTCTATCAACCTGGGCGATGATCAAAGGTATGTTAGGTTATCACACCGGGCTCAATCGGGTGCGCCCGCCAGCTACTAGCGTAGCTTCGCCTTGCTTTTGGAACTCATTCAAGGTTAACTCTCCTCATCAACCATTACGCTTTGGAGACTGTTTGTCATTCCAAGCGGCTAGCAACGTCGACCTCGATGAAGCGATGCGAGCGATTTGCGGTAATCCTGCAATCAATGCCCAGGGCGCGAGCGAAACGAGATGGGTACTATCGTGTACAGTCCAGCAAACAGCAGCAGTGGCCCGGGGAGAGTTTCGAGAGTATCGTCTCATGTGTAACAAGCAAGGTCAGCCCGAAAGGCATCCGTATCATCTTTAAAGCATCGAGCGCGAATGTCTTTATTCATTATAACGTATGATGTAGGATACAAACTCAGATCCCGTCTGAGAACGGCCCGGCTCAATGTCCTACTTTCTTTTCTTGGCCGGAGCTGCAACGTGGATCAAGGTTAGCATGTACCGCGGAAGAACGGTTTTCTGGAACATCGACTAACCTTTCTTCGCGACGACCGGTTCAACAGGAGCCTTTCGTTTAGACCCAGCTTTGGCCGGACTGGCTGCCGCCGCGGTCTTGCTGGGAATGGGCTGGTAAGATGGATCTTCCTGTTGAGCAGCGCACGTAGAGCACAGCCACTCCCCTTCGGGTACCGCATCGAGAGGCGGATCGTTGCATTTCAGGTGACAGGGCGTCTCGCACTTTTCGCACTCGATGAGATCGTCGTCCGTATCCTTGCCGCAGACCATGCACTCATCCGGCGAGTCTACCTCCTCTGGCCATCGCTTGAGTGCCTCGACCGTCTCGCCGGGTTTCACCACCCAATACGTCGTCGAACCTCCAGCCGCCAAGTCGATGACGTCGACCCCTTGCAACGGTTTGATCTCTGCCGGTCTCGTCGAATTCTTCGGCTCGTCGTCCCCGAGACCCAACTCGCCTATGCAGTTTTGTCCAAATCCGACGCTCGTCACTCCGCCGCTTTCCGAAGGTATCGTCAAGAAGTGTCCGTTCCCGCCGCTGGCCGCTTTGATGGTCTTGCACGAGACGATGTCTTGAACAGACTTGAAGTAGGTGTATGGACTTCCGCTCGATCCGTCTCCCGTGAGCTTCCACTTGCCGGCGATCTGGTAGATACCCTGCTTGTCGATCACGATCGAGCAAGTCGGACCGCAGACGATGTCTCTCGCTCGAGTATTTGGGTTCCTAGCGTATTGCGGGACCATGGTAGGAACTTTCTTGTCGACTTGGTCGTTGAGTCCTAGGCGACCATATCCAGCGAAACCCCATGTATACACCATGCCCTCCTCGTCCATTGCCATGCTGTGTTGATTGCCCGAAGCGATGCCCACGATCTTGTTCTTGGTGAAAGGTCGGATGAGTACCGGATAGTCGTCGTAGTCAAAGCTGGTCTTGCCCGGTCCCGAGATTCGTGCTCCCGTCACACCGTTCCCACATTGGCCGTTCTCGTGCGACCCCGTAGCATAGATCTTGCCATTGTCGATGAGGAAGAGGGAAAATGTGAGACCTGCCGAGACCTTCGAGGCGAACGTAGAAAGGGAGCAGACCGGTATCAGCGATCGACATAAGGTAGCGAAGACGGACCTTCGCCAACGAGGACTCACCTGTACGACCTTGCCTCCGTCCTTCTCCCATGGTCCGGACACCCTCACGAACTCGGCAACGACTTCTTCGCCCTTCCCCTTGACATCCACTCCGAGCCTTCCATCCGGGTTCGATCCACAAGCCCAGACTCTCCCGCAATTCGATACGAGTAGCGTGTGATGACGAGCGCAAGCGGCTTGCACAATCCGAGTGGGTTGGTCGGCGGTATCCTCCTTGCTGCTGCCAGCCTTGGACGCCTTGCTGGCGAGGGTCTTGGCGGTAAGTGCTCCGGGTAGAGACTGGGCTAGGATCTTCACGGCGACCGGGAGAGTAGGAGTAGTCGACGACGAGGGAGGTAGGAAGGGGGAGAATGGAGTGGTATCCGACGAAATTCCAAGTACGGAAGACGGTAGGTTGCGTCCGATCATGTGGGCATTACCGTGGACTGTAGAGTAATTGCATAGGCAACAGATGAATCAGCTGTAGATCCTGGGGATCATTCGGGCCTGTATGAGATCTAAACGATTTCAACATAACTTACCGTCAACTGCCACCGCGTGCATAGCCGATGGACCACTGAAGATCTTGGTGACCTTGACGTTGGCAAGTGCTCTCAAAGCATGCGGTGTCGTAAGATTCTCACTGTTTACCGGTTCGAGAGAAGAGCGATGTTCCAGGTTAGTCTCGTTACCGAGCAGAAAGATGAGCAGAGATCGCAGCTGCTTACTTTCCCGCTGCCGGCTTGACATCCTTCTTCCCGAGATTCAGCCTGTGATAACGAACACGGGGTCTGTCAGTATACCGCTTTACTGGCATTCAACCTTTAAGAAGGCGAAAGGTGACTAGATCATCGATGAACATACCAGTCTACTCCTCCGGCGATTAGTACTGCACAATTAACAAGTGACGGTAGTTAGCGATGAGGATAGCTACCGACCAACCCTGTAGCGCCCCTGACATCCAGTGCCGTATCTTGTGACCCGAGTCGTCTCAGAACGCTCTCGTCCGATGCCACAGCTGAGACTACGGTCTCTGATACGAAACTCACCTCGTCCCCAATTCGGTCCATCTCGATGTTCACCTACTTCAGCCATCGTAAGCGTTGCTGACCGGCGACAGCGAATTGGATTGACTAGTGGTTTGAACGGCTATCAGGAGCTACCTAGCCTCAGTGAGTTAGGTAACGACGACAATAGCGATGCCGAGCAAGAAGCTGGTCGAACTATATGATGTTGTTTGATGTTCGAGGTCGTGGTCTATGGCGCGCCGTTTGCGCCAACCATGATGGGATTTGTTAGCCCAATTTGGGTATTTACTTAGAGGCTTTCGGGGGATTATTTACTGCTCCCTAACCATCGGCTTTAGCCGATTTGAGCCTTAGTTACCCCTATTTACCCCGCCTAAGCTTAAGGAAGGGTCGATTGGCCTACACGTCTCTGCACAGCCCTTTGCAAGCCCAATCTAAGCTATTCAACCTTAGTATCTACCTCATCTTAGTCACAATGAACTCAGAAGACCCTTCCGCCGCCATTCAAGCCATAGTCAATCAAAACTTTGATGCAGTGCAGCTCTATCTCGCTCGAGCACCAGAACATCGGAACCCCCTCCTCCTTCCCCCTCTTGTCAACGCTCTCGATGACTTGATACACTTTCTCCGCACTGTTGTTCGAGGGCATATTCCCCATCAAGCGTACCGCAATCATGTTCAAGCCACCGTAGCTTTTCAGGATCGTCTTTCAGCAGTCCAACGTCAATTCGCCCAGCCGCACTTTCCCACTCCACCACGTCAGGCTCAACGATCGTCAACAGAGAGCATTTCAGCAGAAACACTGTCACTCTACACCAACCTCGGGCTGCCTGACAGGTTGATTGCACTTCAACTCGGCACATCACGAAGAACAATCACTCGGCGAAGGCAACAGTTGGGCTTGACAAAGCGTATTCTTAAGCACTCCACACCGGAAGCTACGTTGCAAGCAGTGAGCACATGGTCTATCACAATCTTTGCTAAGGTCTCGTAGCCCAACATACCCCTGATAAGCCTTGTCTACATCTGACTGATCGTTGTAGATGGTAACAAGCATCATAGGAACGATTGACCCCGACAATACAGGGCAACGCCTTGTAATGGGGTTTTTGCGGTCACAGAACGTCCTCGTGACTCGACAACAGGTTCGAACTATTATGCAAGCACGAGACCCTGAGAGAAACGGGTTACGGAGGGCTCAAGTGCTTCGCCGTAGGGATTATGACGTCCTGTTCATCAATTCTCTGTGGCATATGGACGGCCAACACAAATTGATCAATTGGAAGTTTGTTATACATGGAGCAGTAGACGGAAAGAGTCGCTTGATCGTCTTCATGCATGCATCAGACAACAATCGTTCGGAGACAGTTACTTCCAGCTTTCTGGCTGCCACACAGCGCTGGGGATGGCCATCAAGGGTTCGAGCGGACCATGGAGGAGAGAATCTAGGGGTACGCGACTTGATGTTGGACGTCAGGGGTAAGTCTACTTTCTTTTGCCCAAATCGAGCTGTGCTTAGGCTGGAACGACACATGATCACAACATAGGGCCAAATCGTGGATCTTTCATGCAAGGGCCATCGACCAGGAACGTCAGGGTAGAGCGGCAATGGCGACAAGTGGGAGAGTCAATCACCCAGATGTTCAGCCGAGTCTTCTTGGAAATGGAGTCTTTACACGACCTATACCGAGAGGAGCCCGTCGACATCTATTGCCTTCACTATGTCTTCCTTCCCTACCTCAATCACGTCATATCATACTATGTTGACGGTTGGAATCACCACGGGATGTCGAATCGAGGTTTGGGTGGGCTGAGTCCTATCCAAATGTGGTACCGAGGTGCGTTGTTACCCTTCCGAAGCCCTACTCAGCCTACGCAGGCCAATTGACGTCTTACATGGGCTTTTCTGGCGTTTCAGGACTTATGGATGCCACAAACAACGGTTTCGACCTCGATCTCTTTCCTCAACACGCTGAACAAGCTGAACAGCTTTACAATGAACGTGTTCCTGTTATCGACATGCCAGCTATCGCCCCGTCTTTCGATCAACTACGTCAGCCTACCGCTTTCGATCAGCACGTCATCGTTCCCAGGTACATGGACGAATTGCCTGAACTCCTCCAGTCTCAAGAGTTTAATCACCTGCTACACAATCGGTACCCCAACAAGCCCTGGTCGACCTTGGGCGAAGCTGTCAATCAGTACTTAGCTGTACGGGAGTTCGTTCATGACGCTATCAATGCGTTTTGATAACCTTCATTCCATCATGACGTATCAATGGTATTTCGACTCGCTTACAAATACTGTGGGCTAGAAAGGACTAGAAACACTCGCTTAGAGCGTGAGAAAGCAAAGCTAACCGAACAAAGACTTGTTGTTGTGGGTTTCAGGTTCGAACAACGATGACGCGCCATCAGAGGTAAACAAAAACAAAGTAGACGCTGCTAACAGCACCGTATATACCTACAACCATCAGTAAATCCCCCCCCCGCCTTCATCTTACTCGACTAAACGTCTTTTCCACTTTCACTTATCATCACATTCAGGTCGTTCAACGCCGTCCTTTCCCTGCCATCTAAACTCTACATGGCACCCCCCAAGAAGACTTTATTGCAAAAGAAGGAAGACGCGCTTCGTTCTCAGCTCGAAAGTAAGTACTAGTCTTTCACGAGGTTTTCGTCCTTTGATAAGATCTCTTAGACCTTTCTCTACTTTCGTTGAAGCAGGAATGGGTCTCCCTACCGACAACATCGGGGCCGCCTTCACGCCGTCCCAGCAGAAGAAGAGGGGGTCGACCGCGGTCGAAGAGACGTTGGGCGAGGGGTCCAACAAGAGGCCTCGAGTTGAAGGGGCTCATGTCGAAGAGCTGGATGAGGAGCACTTGTCCGAGCAGGGAGAGGAGGTGCAAGGCGAGGGCACGAAGGGAGGAGAGGAGCAAGGAGGAGAGGAGCAAGGCGGAGAGGAGCAAGGAGGAGAGGAGCAAGGCGGGGCGAAGCAGGGAGGGGAGGAGCAAAGGGTGGTCAAGGTGAGCTTAATTGAGTCGATCGAGATTGATTTAGCTTGTAGTAAGCTTACCGTCGTCTATTTGTTGCACGTTACCATCTCTTTCCGTCTGATAGAAACCCCACCTTAAACCTGTCGAGTTGATGGCCAAGCTGCGACTGAAGCGGGACCTCAAGGTCCAGCACGAGCAGCAACAGCAGCAACAACAACAACAACAACAACAACAAGGCCTCGACGACGATCATTCGGAGGCCGATGTCGATGTCGAGGACGACGTGTTCGACCAAGTGGACGAACAGGGTCGAGTTGGAGGTCAAGGGTTTGCGGGTGGCGTTGGGGGCCAAGCTGTGAGTTAATCGACATCCCGACACACCTTATCGTCTTGTTCTATTCCCCATCAACATATGAATACAACTCGTTGTCTTTTTACTTTCGCTTACTCGATATCATGTTTCTACGTTTCGCTATGCTCAGGGTACAGCCGGGTTTGGCAACTACCCCCGTAACGAGGCTGAAAACCAACAACGCGGCGCTTGGGACCAGTACAACCCCTTCCACCCGCAATACCAAGCGTACGCCGGTCAACAAGGGTTCGCTGGTCAGCAAGGGTACGGCGGCCAAGGGTATCACGGGGTGAGTTTAGTTTGTTTGAACGATGGTTCCTCCTCTTCAAGACTAATATTGTTTCGCTGTTGATCATAGTACCAGGAGCCCGCCGCTCCTTATATCGGTCGACCTGGTGCTGGCGCTCCAGCAGGATGGGCCCCTCCCGTACAACCGTACGGGGGCCAATACTACCAGCCAATGGCCATGCCGGTATGTACACCTAATAGTATGCCCTCATGCCCCGCTATAGCAGCGCACGCATTTTGTTAGGGACAGTTGTCTCGCGAGACACAGCGAGACAAGGTTTGCGCAGGGGGTCTGCGCAAGGGTACGCGCGACACACAAAGTAAACAGAGACAACGAGACAACGAGACCGCGAGACAAACAAAGTAAACAGAGACATGAAGCGAGACACACAAAATAAACAGAGACACGAAGCGAGACAGACAAAGTAAACAGAGACAACACATTGGTCATACAGTTCTGCTTCTCACGTGATGCTTGTACACTGCACGTGATTCATTAAACACGTCTCGAGCAGTCGCGTCAAGTATCCTGCCACCTATGACGTGGACGGCAGCCTGGCATCACCCAGACAGACCGAGAAGAGCATATCCTTTCTTTGCTTTGTTACGATCTATATAGTATAGCCTCTGCACACGTTGCACCCAACACGGACATCAAGATGTAGTCGGTAAGTCCACATACAAATCAGTCTACCTTTACCTTACACGCTTACACTTTCTCGTAATCACTCACTCCACCGCACCATGTCTACTGCCCCCCATCTCACCACCACCTACGGTCAGCTTCAGTGCTCGCTCTGCCAGGCCACCGCGTTCAAGGACAAGGCCGATGCTGTTCGTCATCTTGGTGTGCAGCATCAGACTAGTCCGGTCACGTACAAGAGTATGTTGCCAGCCTGAATGATCACCTCGTTTGTCACTGACCCGGCATTGATCATCCTTGCAGAGCTTACGTTTGACCGGGAGGTTCCAGGAGATGCGACCAGTCCTTACTATTGCGGATGCGGCTTTGATGGTACTATCTTGACCAAAGCCTTCCGTAACCACTTGCGGTTCTGTGACGTCGTCCATGCCAAAGTCAAGGCTCAGAATGGCTCGTCGGGCTTGATTGCCAGTGAGTCAAGATAGAGAATTGGATGTCTGTCTTATTGCAACCCGATTCTGACGCATTGTCTCTTTATTTCTCAGGTCCTCTCAGTGCAGATAGCTTGCGAGCGTGTAAGTGATCACAAATTGGAGTTGGTTAGCACATCGCTGATTGTCTACTATGCAGTCCCGGCTTCGACAGAGACGCCTGATGCCAGGCCAAGACAGGTCGAGCCCACCATTACGGCTCGGCAGAAACGTGCCCGTGAAGATATTCAGAGGATCAGTTTCTCGTCTCCCCTCTCCACTCTATCTCCCACGCCCAAGCGGCAGAGACTTTCATCTCCACAATCATCCGGAACGCGGGACAAGGATGACGGCTCTGAGTGGGACCAGGATGGCGGTTCTGTACGAGACCAGGATGGTGGCTCTGAGCGAGACGATAGTGCACCAAACGGTCAGAGGACATCTGGTCAGGAAGATCCGGATGAAGACGCTGGTGATTACGAGGTGGAAGAGACCAGAGATGAGGGACACGCTGCCGGGCAAGGTGACGCCGATGCATCTGACGGGGAAGAGGAT